TACAGCTGGCAACAATTCAATGCCTCCCATATACACACAGCTAAAACAGCAATTACAAAATAGATAAAACATTAATATAATCAGAGAATCAAAGAGTTGGAAGAGACCTCATGGGCCATCCAGTCCAACCCCCTGCCAAGAAGCAGGAATATTGCATTCAAAGCACCCCCGACAGATGGCCATACAGCCTCTGTTAAAAAGCTTCCAAAGGAACCTCCATCACACTCCAGGGCAGTGAGTTCCACTGCTGAACAGCTCTCTCACAGTCAGGAAGTTCTTCCTAATGTTCAGATGGAATCTCCTTTCTCCTTTTCTCTTCCATAGGCAGGCCACCCATCCAGGACTGATGCTACTTGGAAATTAAAATGTTTCAAAGACATTTGGGATTTCTAATGTTTTCGAAGCCTGTAAAAAACATTGCTATCAAATGATAATAACATCTTACATGGGGTTTAGGCAGCATCTGGTGGCCAAGTGTGTAAATGCAGTTATTTTCAGTGAAGAAGTATCAGAAGGTGAATAGGAAAAATTCAGTTGGATAAGAAACACTTACAGCCCTCCATTTGCAAGTGTGTAAATTAAATTGAATTTAACCAAGGACTAGGCACACATCCGAGTTAAGTTTCATTACAAAGAAGCAACTAAATGAAGGACTTGGTTTGTTGCATATGGGTCATCCCTACTAACTACAAGGGTTATCTGGAAAGTAAGGTTACAAGATGTTTTTAAAATACAAAGAATGAATATATTTTAATGAAACTTACATGGATTGTAGCATAGGTATTACATTATTTGTCCACATAATCACCATTCAGTTCAATACATTTTGTCATCCATGGAATGAGTTTTCATTGCCTGTGTCATAGAAGTTTCCCTCTGCCTTTTTCAGCCAATTTGTCACTTTGATTTTCACTTCGTTGTCGTTGGAAAAGTTGTTCCTTCAGTTTAGTGAACAGATGATAGTCGCTGGGGCTGTGCTAGGGGTGACTTAAAATATCCCAACCAATGAAGGCAACAACTCTTGTGTTGCATGAGCGGTGTGCGGATGCCCATTGTCATGAAGGAGACAGACTCCTGCCATGGGCATCCTCCGACATTTGTTTTGGAAGGCTCTGCAGTTTCTTCATGGCCTCACAATATATTCCATACCCATTTTGTCACATGCTGTCCTGACATTACATCCTCTCCATAAACTGAAACGATTCGCAATGAATCGCAGTGGCATTCATGCCCTTAGCATTGCAGTAGTGTATTACAGTGTGAACTTTGCACTTGGGAGGGAAACAAAATGAGGACACTCATCTCTAACCTTCACCACAACGCTAGTTGATGAGCTACTGACGACTGGCACTGCTTGTTCTCTTCCACTGGCTTCCCGCTACACAGCAGTGAGACCAACTTCCCCAGAGAAAGTTCCCAGCGAGAGCCACGTGCCTTGCAATCTTACTTTCCTGATAACCCTCGTATGTGTAACCTTTTGATTTTTTGCAAGAAACTTCAAGTTCACCTATCAAAGACAGGTACAATATAGTGCAAAATTAAGGAATTTAATGTGTCTGAATACATGTTTTATAAACCAGAAATGAATGTATAATCCAGGTTGTTGTAGGTTTTTCGGGCTATATGGCCATGTTCTAGATGCATTCTCTCCTGACAACAACCCAGTGATTCCAGCCACGAAAGCCTTCGACAATACAATGTATAATCCTATTTTCACACATTTTCATACATATTACAAGTATTTGCCAAATAGTGCTGGTGCCTCAGCAAACTATAACTCCCATGATTTCATATCACTAAGCCATGGCAGTGGTGTAAAACTGCATTAATTCTACTGTACGGACGAGCCTATAGGTTCTCTGCTGTGCTTTAACTCTGAACAGTTCCATCACATTTCGGGCTACTTGCAATGTTTCTTTAAAACAAAGAACTGGGGCAAAAAATATACTAGCTAACTTTTTGGGGGGCCTTTCAGGTACCTTTTTGGACTAGATAACATAATGTTTTGAGGCTGCCAGCTGAATGAACAAACATACAAATCAATGCCCCAATCCTATGAAGTTTTATGGTCAGCCAAGATGCCATGAACATGTCTAATGTGACCTGGTTTTCAGAAGACTGGCTTCTTTAAGGAAAATAAAAATTGCATATTACCCTATATATGCATGCATCCTTACAATGTACTGTCAAAGGCTTTCATGGCTGGAATCACTGGGTTGTTGTAAGTTTTTTGGGCTATATGGCCATGTTCTAGAAGCATTCTCTCCTGACGTTTCACCTGCATCTATGGGGTCACAACCTCTGAGGATGCTTGCCCTAGATGCAGGTGAAACGTCAGGAGAGAATGCTTCTAGAACATGGCCATATAGCCTGAAAAGCTTACAACAACCCGTCCTTACAATGCCTTCAAGCAAGCTAATCTGACGTATAAATATTTGTACTAAATGGAGTCCCAGACTGTTGATGCCTCACCAAACTACAAATCCTAGGATTACATTGCACTGAGCCATGGTAGTTAAAGTGGTGCCAAACTTTAAAGTTGTGTCAAAACCGCTTTGAGTCCCCCCCGGGGTTGAACAAAGCGGAATATAAATACTGTAAATAATTAAATAAATTCTAGTATAAATGCACCCAGTTCTGGGAGTGCTTTGTGCATTCCTGTATGGTAGGGGGAGTTGGACTGGATGGCCCTTGTGGTTTTTTCCTTCACTGTGAGAATATGCCTAATATGTAATTACAGTGGCACAAAACTTTCCCAAAGCCATTTGTGAACTCTGGTTTTTAAAAAAATGAGCCTCTAACAAGACAACCATAAACACATCTTGTGGTAGAAGTGATTAAAAGCATGAGCTTATGCCAAGGGTTGTTTCCAATATTGTGCAATGTTTTAATACTATATCTAGCAAATGATATTTTATATTTCAAACCGTTAAAAGCCCCTGGTGGCACAGTAGGTTTAAGCGCCGCGCTGCTGAACTTGCTGACTCAAAGGTTGCAGGTTTGAATCCAGGGGGCAGTGTGAGCTCCCACTGTTAGCCCCAGCTTCTGCAGACCTAGCAATTCGAAAACATGCAAATGTGAGTAGATCAATAGGTACTGCTCTGACGCGAAGGTAACGGTGTTCCATGCAATCATGTTGGCCACATGACCTTGGAAGTGTCTACAAACAATGCCAGCTCTTTGGCTTAGAAATGGAAATGAGCACCAACCCCCAGAGTCAGACGCGACTAGACTTAATGCCAGGGGGAAACCTTTACCTTTCAATGTTTTTACTGTGCTGCATTTCATGTATTGTCTAATGGTCTGTTGACTGTAATAAAGGCTGCTGTGGTTGGATGTGACAGCTTTTGTATAAGAGACAATCTGAGGTCCAAAGTTTATACAAGAAAATCTAACAACGTATTTAGAAAGTGATAGGAATCAGAACACAAATGAAACAACATCCATGGCATAACATTAGATTATTTTTCATTGACTGTCATACTGTGTCCATAGTAACATATCCCTATAATGCATCACCAAGGTAGAAAACCTTGGAAACCGTTTCAAGTGTCCAAGAGAGAAACTGTACGCTTGGAGCATGTGTTTCTTCAACAGCAATCTCCTTTTATCAAGTTTCAAAAGGATTTTACAGTTTAGGGAAATTTGGTTTCCAATTGCGGAGCAAAGTTCTATAGCAGTTTCTCAACCTCGGGGTTGGGAGTCCTGAAGGGGTTGCAAAGGGGTGTCAGAAAGATTGTGAAACCCCATCAGAAAACACAGTATTTTCTGTTTGTCATGAAGGTTCTGCGTGGGAAGTTTGCCCCAATTCTACCGTTGGTGGGATTCAGAATGCTCTTTGATTGTAGGTGAACTATAAATCCTAGCAACGACGACTCCTAAATTTCAAGGTCTATTTTCCCCAAACTCCACCAGTGTTCACATTTGACCATACTGAGCATCCGTGCCAAGTCTGGTCCTGATCCATCATTGTCTGAGTTCACAGTGCTCTTTGGATGTAGGTGAACTACAACTCCGAAACTCAAGGTCAATTCCCACCAAACCCTTCCAGTATTTTCTGTTGGTCATGGGAGTTCTGTGCGCCAAGTTTGGTTCAATTCCATCTTTGGTGGAGTTCAGAATGCTCTTTGATTGTAGATTAACTATAAATCCCAAGAACTACAACGCCCAAATGACAAAATCAATCCCTCCCCCAACCCCACCAGTATTCAAATTTGGGCGTATTGGGTATTTGTGCCAAATTTGGTCTAGTGAATGAAAATGCATCCTGCATATCAGATATTTACAATTATGATTCATAACAGTAGCAAAGTTACAGTTGTGAAGTAGCAATGAAAATAATGTTATGGTTGGGGGTTACCACAACATGAGGAACTTTATTAAGTGGTTGCAGCATTAGAAAGGGTGAAAAACTGGTATAGAGTGAAAAGGCACTCTATAAAAAAATGACCTATCTGAGGCGAAGAAGTTTGGAAGTCAAACCAACCACTCAACCCAAATTTATACATATAAATCTTTTTTCTTTCTTTTTTCTCAAGCTCTCTTGGATTTTTAATCTACACTTTCCTAATTTTATATATCAACCATATGTTCCCCCACTTTTACTGTTATCTGGAAAACTTAATAAAATATCTATTTTTGAAAAAAGGAGGAGTGAGGACCACTGTTCTACAGGACCTTCCAAATCCTTGAATACCCTTTTCAGTCCCGATTAATTACTCCTCTTCAAGAATGCTCAGGAACAGGATTATATTGCATGAGAACCTGGGTTCTTCCAGCTCAGTATTGTCAAAGGCTCTCCAGAATTTTATGAAGGATTCTTTCATAGATATCTTAGAAATAGTGAGGATGAGGTTTGCAACTCTGCATGTGCTCGATTACTGGGTTCAGGCCATTCTCACCCCATCCAACATAATCAACAATTCAACATCGTTCTCAATATTAGAACCAGAATCCAAATAGTTCTTCAAGCAGCTGAAAAAAACGCAAGGAGGTTGCGCTGATGTTTTAACCAAGCTTTTATTGTGAAATATTGGGTTTAGAAAAAAGAGTACAAAACATGTCAACTGTCAACCTGTGTACATTATTTGAACAGTATATACAGATGGAGCAACCTGAACAACTTCGCCTCAGAATGGACACAGACATCCTAGCTAAAAAGAAATTGCGATATTCACAGGCTTAAGAAACACATAAGTAACTCAAGCCCAAACAAAATGCTTATTGTTCAATGCTAGCAGTTTAAAAACAGACTTAAAATGCATGTGGTCACTACAATGTGTCACCATTTAAAAAATCATTCTGAAAATAAACTTTAAACTCCCACTTATTAGTGTCTAGCCTTTAAGACTCCCAGGCTAGAGAGGTTACATAATAAGAAAATAAAAACAAAACCAGAATGTTTCTAAACACTGAATGTCTGTAAATGGGTTTCTCATCATGGCCTTTATACAACTCCGTTGCTTTAAAAAACTGAAACATTAGCTCTCTTCCTCTCGAATGTCCTCGTTGCAGCATAAGCAGGTTTCACTGAAAATGACTTGATCAGAAAGTGAATCAATTTCCTATGACTTTAATTTAAGCATAATAAAACCACCAGTTACAAGTAGCCATTCGACTGGGGGGAGAAAAAGTATCAAAATACTCTGAAATGGACATCAGGAATTTTATAAAACTCACCCAAGTGTTCAGTGATTTGAACAAGTCCCTTAGGATTGCAGCAGGTTGTTTTGCCCTGGCTGCATCGTTGTGTAAAATCAACAAATAATATTTATACAATATACAAATTGTACATATATTTTTTTAAAAAATCTCAATATTGTAGAAAGCAGCTTTTTGTCTCTTTTCAAATTACAATTATTCAGTAGTCTCTTGGGAATAAATCCTCCCGATCTTTCAGGTAGGTAGCTGAAGGCCCAAAATCATGCCAATGTTAGTTGAAGTGCAACTAACTCCTGGGTGTGTAACTTCAGCATCCTTTTATCAGCAGGGTATGTATGGGAAAAGTTGATCTTTCAAGCTGGTGAAAACAGTGTTGTTTGCAATGACCTGTGACATTTTTAACAATCTGTATTACCACCCAAAGGGAACATTACAAATCCCCTTTCAATACATCTCATCCCTTTCAGATGGACTGCCTTTGAGGAAATAACTAGGACATAGGTCCACCAGATGTTTTGGACTTCATCTCCCACAATTCCTAGGAATTGTGGGCGTTGAAGTCCAAAACACCTGGAAGGCTAACTTTGCCTGTGCCTGGTCTAAACTGCAGAGGGAGGTTACATACACACAGCACTACATCAGAGCAGCAATTGAAGCCTGCCATTCCCCTCTCCAGCCATTTTACCTCTAGGTCAGTGGTTCTCAAAGGGGACATGACCACCTGCTGCAATGCAACCTGAGCCCTGCCACATGCACCATGGAGGACCTTCTTGCAGCAACACCAGAAGCACTCCAAGTGGCCAGCTACTGGTCAAAGGACATTTAATCAACTACCAAACTCACAAATTTTGTATTTTGTCTGTTTGTTTGCTTTGTTCTGTTAGAAGTGTAATATAATTGACTGGTTGCCCTGACACGACAAATAAATAGTGGTTCTCAACCTGTGGGTGCCCAAGTGTTTTGGCCTACAACTCCCAGAAATCCCAGCCAGTTTACCAGCTCTTAGGATTTCTGGGAGTTCAAGGTCAAAACATCTGGAGACCTATTTACTTCACACGTTTCTTTTTGTTTGCTTTCTATTTCTTTATTTTCTTTCTTTTAATTGTAAACTAAAAATTTCAATAAATATTTTTTTTTTAAAAAAAGCAACTGGAGACCCACAGGTTGAGAACCACTGCTCTAGGTGCTAAAAACGTATTTGTCGCCCAAAGAGGTTGAGCCTGTTTCAATTTTGTCTCCTCAGTACTGCCACGTTGTGCAGGCCTAGTTTAGACTCACAACTGCCCTGAACTAACTGGGATGACATCCCTGTATTACTCCAGCTGCATTTCGAAGTCTGAGGTATAGTAGACAAGGTCTCATCTCCTTCGGGTAACCTGATACACCACTGATTATGTTTCCATGGAGCCCCGGGAGTCAATGACTTAGGGCACATCTGCATGGCTTTTTATTGTGAAATACGATGCTTTCCTTAGCCTTATCCAACTCCTGCAGAGCATATGTTGCTTGAGCCCACACTAATCCCACCTGATCCACACAACCATCTTGCTGGGGCTTTGGTTCTCCATTGGAGGCCTTCAGAGGCTTTTCTGGAGACTTTTTTTCTTTCACCCCCAGGGCCCTTCCACACAGCCCTATATCCCAGAATATCAAGGCAGAAAATCCCACAGTATCTGCTTTGAATTGAGTTATCTGAGTCCACACTCAGATAATGTGGGATTTCCTGCCTTGATATTCTGGGATATAGGGCTGTGTGGAAAGGCCCCCAGTTAATTTCCACAGAATTACTATGTATCGCTAGTTTTTGGTAAAACATCTATGTATGGGGGCTGATGTTTCTTTACTACACAGAACTGAAGAGGCATGTCTGCACATACATTTAAATAAAGGCTTTGTGTCACTAAAAAGAAAGATTTGAAGAGTCACCTCGATACAAACACTGTTCCTGCGTCTCTCAAGATAAAGTACTTTACCAAAAATACAATGCAAATTTAGCTAAATTAAAAGAATATATATATATATAAAGAAGCCCTACAGTTTGGAAAAGGAAAATTAAATTAGGCACACCAGTTAAGACAAATACTCTCTACAAAGACATGTCTGTTACGTTTATCTATAGTAATAAAAAAACCATTGCCTCCCAGTTCATAGCACCTTCACTAGCATCCTAACACCTGTGATCTTAGCGTGTGATTCTTCTTTACATATATTACACGTATACACACATGGAGAAACATTTAAACATGATTTTTTTTAAAAAAAAGAAAGAAAAGAAACCCCCCTTTATATACAAAATATCAACAATCCTATAAATAAACAGTTGGGAGAAGAAAGGCACTTGCAAGAGAGAGAAGTCTACAGTATATTTTTCAAGAACCATATTTTGTTCTGTTACTTACAATAGAGGATTTCTTTAAATTTCTATCACAAGGAATGCAAAACACCAGTTGTCACTAAGAATAAAATCATTAAAATTCTTTTACATTTATATTTATAGGTTTAAGCTTCTGATAATAAAAAGCACCATGATTCAATATACTCTTCAACGGTTCACTTATTTAGAGTGAAAGATAAAAAGCACAGCTGCCAGGTATCCAGGATTCCCTTTTTTGTGTGAACTAATTCCTGTTGGAATAGGGATGGGACTGATGTTTTTAAATGCGAGTCTACACAGCTCCAAAGCAAGTCCTGTTCTTGTTCAAGTGCCCTGTATTAATCCAATTTAAAATTGAGGAGACTTCACGATGGCAGTGCTTGGTGGAATTCTCCCTCAAGTTGCTGCTGCCATTCATGTCTTTATTATTGCATGATGTGGCTAAAAATAAGAGCACTCTTGCTGATCACCAGCAAAAAGTCCCCTCCAGTATAAATTGTTTAGTATGTTTTTTTTTTAAAGAAACCCTTTTCTTCAAGCCAGCTGAAGTGTTTGAATCCAACTGGTTTTTAAAAGTTCCACTGCATTATCGGTTACAAAAAAGTGTACGAAAACATGCCAACTACTCTGTGCAAAAATATTTCCCCCCCCGACTAACCAAGCTTCTTAAGACATTCCCACAGAGTCACTTATCTTTTTGAATATTAACACCCATGCAAAGCCACAGTCATTCAAGGAGAGGTCAGCATGCTCCCACTCTTATCAAACTTCTTGCCTTTTGATAATGCTGCAACCTGTTTGAGGAGCTCTCTGTTTTTTGCCTGGAAAAAAAACCAGATGGAAAATATCCCTTATTTTGGTAAACTTTCCTGGTACTCTTCAGATGTTTTGGAGAATTTACAACTTCCAAAATTAGCCACATGTTGAATTATCCAAATAATTTAAAGGAAACTGGGCTACCAAAAAAGCACTCTGCATTACTGCACAGTGCCATGCACAGTGCCATTTTAATGGTAAGCCGCTTTGAGTCTCCTTCAGGAGAGATAAAGTAGGGTATAAACAACAATAACAACAGTAATAATTTACGAGAAGCAACTGGAAAAGCTGACACAATATGAGGATTTAAAGCTCGAACTGCAAGTCAAGGTGGTCCAGTGGTGATCAAACACTGGGTGCAGTGCCTAAAGACCTTGGCCTGGACTTAGAAACAATTGGCGCTGACAAAATTACCATCTATCAACTGCAAAGGGCCACTCTACTTGGATCTGTACGCATTATTCGCCGATACACCACAGTCCTTGACACTCAGGAAGTGTCCAATGTGTGATCGAATACAAAAGCCAGCATAGTGATCTTGTTTGCTGTGTACTAATTGTGTTGTGTATCAAATAATAATAACTTTTCTGCTTGGGTCTCAGCTTGAAATTAACTTGCATTAATGATACTAGTAGGATTTTAACATGCCCTTTTTTATTTCTCTTACCTACACCTGTCTGGATTCCAAACAGATCTCTCAAACCTAATGTAGGTTTCATCCAAGAGTTTCGGAGCACACCTGTACTCATTTAAATAGTGTATTTTCACATCCTATTGCACATAGTTTCAAAATTGGCTTCACCTAATAGGCTAGTGTTGAAAAAAAAGTGTTCAAAGCTCTTTGGGACAATCAGAAACTCATTAGATTAACACTCTAACTCAAATAATGGAAATCTACCCCAGTCCTGTTGATTTGCCACAAATTGTCTTATATTTTTAATTTTATTGCTTACTATTACTTGATGTATTAGTTAAGTGTGCCTTAAATGTTATATATGTACATTTAATTTTTTATTTTATTAGTTTCAGCTAATTTTATACTAATTGCTTTAATTGATTTTTCAGAAAGCAGGTTGAAACCAAATCTGAAAATGTGTTGTTTATGATTTGATGTCTTTTGTCATGTCTTGTTGGCACTGAATGTGTCCCCAAAACATTAGTGTTCATATTTAATATGTATTTGCGAATCCCATGGCCACAATGATATGGCCATAACATTATTTTTAAAACACTGACTTCACAACCAAATTTCATGTGAGGAATTCCTGGCCCCAAAGGATTCTCTCTGAAATACTATTTACCTGTAACTGTTCCACAGTCTCCTTATGAGCTCTCTCCATACTGTTCATCTTTGTTCTCAAATTTGACTCCTGATACTGAAAATCAGCCTTGAGCTCTGTCAACTAAGAAAAAAAGTTGAGATCAGATAGATAGATAGACATCTCCATATACACACACACTCTCTCTGGGTGAAAATGTTATAAGCCCAGAAAACTCACAGTAATCCAGTGATTCCGGCCATGAAAGCCTTTGACAATACAATGCTTAGTATTTATTCTTCTTTATCCACTTACATTTTCTATGGTAAAAAGGCTTAAATCAGTGGTTCGCAACCTGGGGTCCCCAGATGTTTTTGGCCTTCAACTCCCAGAAATCTTAACAGCTGGCAAACTGGCTGGGATTTCTGGGAATTGTAGGCCAAAAACACCTGGGGACCCCACGTTGAGAACCACTGGCTTAAATTATGTATTGATTTCTGGAGACTAGGGTTCAAATCTCTGCTTGGCCACAAAAATCCACTGGTCTTCCTTCAGCAAGTTATATTTTGTTTCAGAGGAAGACAAAGATACCCACACACTTGAAAAAACCCTTGCTAAGATAAACCCCAGGATAGGGCTTCCTTATGGTAAGCTATATGTTGGAATTACTTAAAGGAACACAATAACAAAACTGGTTGATAGGAATATATAAAGCATTAGTACCTTCAAAAGAAGGCAAGACATCAAAGATTTAGGATCACATTGGTCCATAAGTTTCAGTGTGTGAAGGTTTCAAGACAGAGTAATTTTTCACCTCTAAACATTAAAATATGGCTGATGTGGGAGGTTTTGATCAATCTAAGTACTTGTAAGAGAGGGGAAGTTCTATATTCTTTCTCCATGCTGTTTGTTATAGTTCTTTTCCCTCTTTCGACCAAAAGACAGAAGGAAATCCACTGGGGATGATTTCTGGATTCATGTAAATTTCACACATTTCTTTTGCACACTGAACATTTACAAAAATCAACTAAATCATCCAGGTTTTTTACCTTTTTATCTTTTTCCAGAATAGTTTGATCTCTTTGTTGTAAGAGGCGTTTCAATGACATCACTTCTTCTTTCAACTGACTTATGAGGACGAAATTGTCAGTCCCTCCACTGTCCGCTGACTGATTTATAGAACTACTGTAAAAGTTGAGAAAATGAGAAAAAAACAACTGATATGTATTTAAAGCTAACACCTTCCAAAATATTCGTAATGGATATGTTACACTTGACAGGAGTTGATCAGGCTGGGAAATTGGCTGCCTAGTGTACAAACTACATATACTTTTTTTGTGTCAGGAGCGACTTGAGAAACTTCTTCTAGTGTGAGAGAATTGGCTATCTGCAAGGACTTTGCCCAGGGGATGCCCGAATGTTTTGATGCTTTACCATCCTTGCTGGAGGCTTCTCTCATGTCCCTGCATGGGGAGTTGGAGCTGACAGAGGGAGCTCATCCACACTCTCCCCAGATTTGAACCTCCAACCTGTCGGTCTTCAGTCCTGCTAGCACAAGGATTTAATCCACTGTGCCACCGGGGGCTACATTACATATACTGTAAAACAGATTTAATCAACAGCTTTCAAAGGATCAAATACTTGCTGATTAAAGCAGTCATCTTTTACATCAATTCCGATAAATGTATGGATCCTTCAGCATTCTACTCTCTTAATTTATCAAGATGTATTTGGTTATGAAAACCCACATGGTGATTCAAACCCAGCCTCAGAAAAAGGCAAGAGCAAACCCCTTTTGAACAAATTTTGCAAGAAAACCATTGCTAGGTCAGAAACTACCTGTAGGCACACAACAGCAAAAACTTGGAACTAAAAGAATTTTATCAAAGGTATGCACTACCAAACTCCAAAGCCTAGAGGCTTTAGATTTCTCTTCCTTTGACTAATTTCAAGTCATCACACTCAGGCTTCCAGGAACAAGATTTTTCAACAGAGATTACACTACAGCATGTAGCTAAAGAGATAAAGAAACCGAGTGATAGTTGATTTCTTGTGAACAGACTGAAAAAGAAAAATGAAACCAAACTCCAAAATTCATTGGACCAATCGTTTATTAAACAAAAATGGAAAAAGAGCTGTAAGGAAGATTATATTCTTTACCTATCTCCATTAGATGGCTTGGATTCCATTTTGGGTTTTTTCTTTGGAGTTTCATTCTGAATAGTTGCAGAGGATTTATGGCTGAAAACACAAAATGCAATCTCATACAATATGTGATAATATTTAGACAAAATACATACCATATAGATTTCTGAATAATGTGACCAAGATTTAATAGAAGGGCAGTACATTTCCTAAATGTAGAATGATTAAATGTCACTTACGCTACAAACTCCCTGATCTCTATGGCAATTTCTAATCTCCCCTTTGGCAGCAATTAGGAGGTATAGAAGTGTTGCATCAAACCTTCCTTGATAGTAAAGAAATGGGGGGGGGGGGGTTGTCTGTTTCTGGGTCAGTTCTTACTGTTGCTACTTGGTTCTTATACAGATTCCTCAGGAGGCAGACAAGGTGAGTTGGTATGCCCATACCACCAAGAACTTGCCATAGTTTATTATGATCCACAAAGTCAAAGGCTTTAGAATAGTCAATAAAACAGAAATAGATGTTTTTTCTGAAACTCCCTGCTTTTCTCCATTATCAAGTAGATATTGGCAATTTGGTCTCTTGTTCCTCTGCCTTTTCTAAACCCAACTCTTTCTCCATGTATTGCTGGAGTCTTCCTTGCAGGATCTTGAGCATTACCTTACTGGCATGAGAAATAAGGGCCACTGTATGAAAGTTTGAACATTCTTTAGAATTTCCCTTTTTTGGTATAGGGATATTAGTTGATTTTTTTCCAGTCTGATGGCCATTCTTGTGTTTTCCATATTTGCTGGCATATGGCATGCATCATCTTGACAGCATCATCTTTCAAGATTTTAAACAGTTCAGCTGGGATCCCGTCGTCTCCTGCTGCCTTGTTATTAGCAATGCTTCTTAAGGCCCATTCAACCTCACTCCTCAGGATGTCTGGCTCTAATTCACTCACCACACTGTCAAAACTATGCTCAATATTATTATCCTTCCTATACAGATCTTCTGTATAGTCTTGCCACCTTCTCTTGATCTCTTCAGCTTCTGTTAGGTCCTTGCCATCTTTGTTTTTTATCATGCCCATTTTCACCTGAAATCTACCTCCACTGCTTCTAATTTTCTGGAAGAGGTCTCTTGTCTTTCCTATTCTGTTGTTTTCTTCCACTTCCATGGATTGCTTGTTTAAAAATAATTCCTTATTTCTCCTGGCTAACCTCTTTCTCTCTCTCTATATATATACATATTGAAAAGAACAGCTATATATCAGCACTTACCTCTGTTTCCACAGTCCCTGATCTTGTTCTGGACTCAGACTGCTGATTCTGAAACATAAAATGTGCAAAGATGACACCCAAACATGGCTTGCATAGTAAATATTTACTACTTTGCCACCAGATGTGTCCTTCTATGCCCATAAACATATAATAAATGTGAAGAAATATATTTTTAAAACCCTACTGTTATTAACTGCCTTCAAGGTAACTTTGATGTATGCTGACCCCATGAAGGACAGACCTTCAAGCCACCCTATCTCCAAGAGTCCTGCTTAGCTCTTGTACAATAAGGACCATGGCTTTCCTGACTGGGCCTATGCATTCAGAATGCAATCTTTCTCTTTCATTACTGTCTTCTACCTAACCAAGCATCATTGTCTTTTCTAGTCAGTCGTGCATTCTTATGATATGTGCAAAGAACAACAATTTCTTGACTTGAGTACAGGTTTGCTCAAGGCAATGAAATATTTTGGTAGAATCATTTCATTAAGACCAATCCAAAGTTTTTAACTATCTATACAATGAAAGGTATTGCTATAATCTATATAGCATAGGCTGGTTTTGTTTTGAAAATCTTCCATGTGTTTCACTGTCCAACGTAAGTTTGCCATATGATCTCTAGGGGCTCTTCCTTTCTTGAACCTAGCTTAGACATCTGGCATTTCTCACTTCACATATGGTGAAATTCTCTGTTGTAGAATTTTAAACATTACTTTGCTTGGTAAATTAATGCAATGGGTCATCAGTGACTGCAATCACTGGTGCTTACTTTCTTGGGGATTGAAATGTATATTGTATTAGGTCTCCAAAATCGCCAGCAACAAACAATAGTGGAATCTTTAAGTGTGGCATGGTTTCTTGGATTTGATAGATCACATGCTCCATTTAACTTGCTGAAGCTCTCTCCAACACAAGATTCCATGCCCCAGCCTCAACCTAGGTAAAATCCTATCAACAGGCCTCAGAGATATCTGAAGACATGTGAGGCCTTAATCTAGCTAAAGACAAGAAGGTCCAGCTTTGTCTTCTCCCTGAATAGGAGAGAGCCTCAGAATCCATGAAATTTGCCTTGAATTTGAAAAGAAGATATGACATACAAATAAGTACAATGTTGAGAATGCTCTTGGTTAAAGCAATCAAATGCATGAGTGCATGAACTCTTTCACCACAGTATATTAAGTATACTTTGTTCCTGTGAGAAGACAAAACTTTACTTTGTCTTAACAGCCACAAATAACAGGGCATCCCTTTTCACAAAGTTTCATAGGACTTACTTGTGATGCCCGCTGCTGTGGCGGTGGTGATGGTGATGATGGCGGTGATGATGGTGGTGTTTCAAATGATGCTGGTCTTTCTCAGTGAGGGTTGTGGAGGAGGAATTTGACTGTGAAGACCCTAAGCTCTTTCGCTGCTCCTTGGTCTTCTGCAGTACTCTCTTGTAGGACAGAGTACAGAGCCAACACAACAGCTTCCCATCAACCTTTTGGGAAATCATTCGCAGCAAGTTATGTTACACGTACTCAGTGCTAAAAAGACACACAACAGCCAGAATAAAATTATCAAATACTACCGCTGTTATTTTTGCAGAAGACTTCAATATTAACAAATTAAAAAGATAGCAGACATCAACATCACATGAAGCATTTTGAACTCTCCTCTGAAAACTGGAGAAAGCTCTATACATATTTGTTTTGGGCAGGTCATGATGGATGTTCTGGACAGAATTTCTTTTGTAGGTAGAAGGTCCTTCGTTCCTGCAGAGTCTCCCGATGGAAGGTTGAGAGTTAATTTTCTCCATTCATTCTCTCTCTTTTGCTTCCAGGTTCATTTCTTGCGCTATTTCAGAGAGCCCCTCAGCTCTCTAATGCAGACCTTCAGACGCAGAATAGAAAATGAGGCATTTTCCCACCTCTCCTTAGCAACTGATAAGAGTTCCAGGGGAAAAATTCCTCTCATTGGATCCAATCACTAGGCCGTTGACCCAGTTTCCAAATATGCCATAGCTCTTCTTAGGTTTGAATGATATAACTAACATCAACTGAACAAGTTGCCAAACAAACCTTTGATAACAATTTGCCATGTCGTGAAGCAAAGTTCTTAGTTGACAGTAATGGAAGATCTTCAACCTTTAGTATTCTAACACTTGGGACAGCTTGTTGCTCTAGTGAAGCTGGCTAAAGTATGACACTTTGGGAGTTTTACCAAAGAAATCCAAGGCATGTGGTACAGTAACCTATTGGATCTCATTAGCACCTGAATGAGAAAACTATCCTAGAAGTCTGCTTTAAGTTCCAAAACAGAGATACAAATGTTTATAGTAGTGTGCTCCCTTAAAGGCAGCTGTTCAGAATACAGACCAGAGGGTTTTTTTTTTTTAACCACCAGTAATTTATAGCCCCTAAATCAGTGGTTCTCAGCCTGTGGGTCCCCAGGTGTTTTGGCCAACAACTCCAAGAAATCCCAGCCATTTAGGAGCTGTTAGGATTTCTGGGGGTTGAAGGCCAAAACATCTGGGGATCCACAGGCTGAGAACCACTGCCCTAAATGGTAAGTGCAGATGATTTTGATTTAAAATATTAGTAGAGTTCGAAGTGCTGTTTTTATATAAAAGCAACAAGACAAGCACATACCTTTCTTCTTCCCTCCTCTTTGCGATCAAAAGCACATTGCTGCTTACACTGTTCACAAGTCTGAGGCGGTCCATACTTTTTCTCAGAGTTTGTGCAGCGCTGGCATTTTGTGCCAATAAAAGCTGCAATGATGTTGCAGTACTGACAAGGTTTTGGCTGGAAAAGAAGAACAAGTCTGAAATGCTATTTTTTCAAAAAAAAATGTTGGTATTTTATTTGACAACCAAGTCACTAAAAGAAAAGCAGAAGTATATGTGGCTGCTTAGGATAAACTGACAAAGACCATGTTCATTTGCTGTGGCTATTGTATTTCAAAAATGAAACAAGAAATTAAGTATCACAGAATTTCTTCAGTGCTCTGGACAATAAATAAATAAATAACATGAGCTATTTTGATGTGATTAAATTGCCTGAAACTGATATTCATGTAGGCATAGAATTCGCTATTATCAACAACAGAAGAAAATGTTTTGCTATCCAAAATGTTTCCATCTAATGTTGCACATATCAAATTCCAAAAGAGTTGGGAGTGTCAAATAAAATCACCTTCAATATCATAAAAATCTGGTAAGCTACCACTTTAGTAGCCAAGTCTCAAAAGGAGATATAAATATTAACTCACTGTTCCAAACTGCTTCACGTTTTGAGCACACTTCTTGCATATTGTGTTCGTTTTGCTAAAAAAAAGGAAAGCACATCAAATTAATGTTAGATACTTTGTGACAAGCCGTTTGCAATGCTTATTGACAAAATGAAGAAATTAGATGTATTGTTCAGTGAATTAAATAACATGAATTAAAAATATTTCCCTGGATGCTTCCAAAAGGAGGAATACAACAGTGGAAACCTAGAAAAAAGAATACATTTCTACCTCAGAAAAAATGGAATTGGTGATTATTTACACAGTCTTGTAGAAATTTATGTTGAAAATGTGCAATTTGAACACCTTTGAAGCTCAGGCAAAATTCCATATCAGACCAACATAACCTGTGAAAGACTTCAGGATTATTTTCATTAATATAATGCACAAGACAGAACAAACAGGATAAACTGTGATAACTAAAACAGCTGGTATAAGTAAATGTTGAACTCAAATAAAAAAGTGGGCTGCACGATGACTAAGGAATCTTTTTAACAAGACATAGCTGTGGTCCACTCAGACCAGTATTGTTAATGCTAATGCTAACTGGTTGTAGGTCTATAATATAGTATCTGAAGATGCTCGAGAATGAACCTGAGCCTTCTGCAGTAAGATATGTGCTCATAAAAAACATATGAAAGCAATGTAAAAATGCATAAAAACAATTTTAATATTCTTGCAAATGGACAGCAAATGTAGCAATACGCAAAGGGATCTGGCAGCACCTCAGTTTGCTTTGGTACTGAATACTGCAGTTCAACATGACTTTTACTAACAAAAATCACTTCTAAATGTGCATAATAAGAATATATTCTAAGACAGGAATAAATAATGTGATCTTGAGGGCATCCATGTAGGTGTGTTGGGGTACATCCTAGAGAGGACCATATGATTGAAGCGGGAAGCAGCCTTTTCCTCTCTCCTTGCTGGTAGGGCTGAGCTTAAATACGGTTGGTATGTAGAAATGACGTTCCAGGGACAACTAATAATAGGCGTTTGTGTCAAAGTGTGAAACACAGAAAAGACCTACCTCTCTTGCTGAAACTCTGATCGACAGTAAGTACATTTTACCATAGGATGTGCAATGCGACATTCCTAGAAAAGAAAAAAAAAATCATTATTTTAGTAAATTGAAACAAATGGCATTAGAAATTCACTTTAATTTAGGACACAAAATATAACAAATTACTAAGATTTACTGCAAGGAGTTAAGTAGTACAACAAGTTCTGAGTACAATATTGGAGAAAACAGAAAACAATAATTTAACTTCTCTCATAAGAAAAGGATCTTGTGGTCAATGATTTGCATTTGTCTTGTGGATTCTGTTAACCCTCAAATCTAAATTTTAATTGTTTTAAGTCATTATGTGTGAAGTTAGTGTATGGTTGAAGTTTGATTTTATTTCATATATCAAAAGATCTGTTACTATGCAGCCCATTTCATAAGAAGATAGCAGGTAGATAACAATTTGCAGAGTTATAAAAAGTTAAAGATTACCACCACAAACCACATCCCAAGTAGTAATGCTGTGAAGCCATCACTGAAAGCAGTTTATAAATATGGGCCAGTCATTGGGCTATACAGTACATTTAAATCCAGATATGGTCCTGTGCATTGTTCTGAAGAACATGAAAGCTCGGAATTATGCTCCTCTTTACAGGTCCTAATAAAAGATATTATCTAGGGCCCTTCCACACAGCCATATAACCCAGACTATCAAGGCAGCAAATCCCACAGTATCTGCTTTGAACTGGAATATATGGCAGTATGGGCTCAGGTAACCCACTTCAAAGCAGATATTCTAGGATTTTTTGCCTTGGTATTCTGGGTTATATGGCTGTGAGGAAGACCCCTTAGACTTTTGATTTTAAGTTTATACAGACACATCTCCAATAGCACTGCCAAGCACTCAAAAGAATTCTGCTCCAGTTTAAAAACCAAAGGCGGAGCCCTTTCCTTCCTTCTGGAACCACCTTCCCTTCTCTGGCTTTTCAAAACCTCCAATTGGCTCTGTCCTTTTGACAATGCATTTCCATTAATTCTGTCCCTCATGCACACAAAGGGATCCTTGTAGCACCTTTCCGACCAAGAGAAAGAAGGGGGCACGATGAGCTTCCACAGATTTTAGTCTAACTCTTTAGATGCACTGAGTGGCATGTTTAAGAACATATTATAACTGTGATGACAGAAATGCATTTCAATATTTCTGTTCATATGTATTTCTGTGGCTATACACTCTGACCTGCCCATAAAAGTATACCCTTAGGAACTTTACTCCATGCATTGAGGAAGTAGACAAAGTGTACAAAAGGTTATGCTACCAACGTCTTTCTCCCAGACTCAAAGGTGTTACAAATCCCCTCTGAATACTGATATTTCAGAGTTACACCGTTATGTCTTTGATTTTTTTTTTCCTTTTTCAATCTACTCTTGCTCTTTTGGCAGTTCAAAATTGGGTGAACTGTTGGTTTTTTTACACTTTATATTCCGGCCGGATATGCTCTTTGCTGACTTAGTTTCCTCATACAGGTAGAGTATGCCTCATCCAGAAATCCGAATCAGACAGCAAAACAGGCACCTCAGGAGTGTTAACCTTTTTCTTTGCGACCCAAAAAGCTTTATCTCTCCCACCCTCTCTCTCCATTCCGCAATAATAATCATATTGGCAGTGCTTGGGGCAATCTTTTGTGGGACCACCAAACGCAGCGCCCAAACACAAATCAAGGAACATGAAAGGCACTGCAGACTCCTTCAACCAGAGAAATCAGCCATAGCAGAGCACCTGATGAACCAACCTGGACACAGCATTTTATTTGAGAACACAGAAATGCTGGACCACTCTCAATCACCATGTCAGACTACACGGAGAAGCCATTGAAATACACAAGCATATGGACAATTTCAACAGAAAGGAGGAAACCATGAAAATGAACAAAATCTGGCTACCAGTATTAAAACTTTAAAATTGCAACAGCACAACAACAGAGAGGAAACAAATAAGGACATCTAATCACCTCTCAACAAAAGTTTGCTCCAAGCACAGTCAGCCCATTGTATGCTAATCAAGGTGATCAGTTGAAACATTCACACCTAGCTCCAGCCCCTTTGTCTCACCCTGGTCATTCCACAGATATATAAACCCTTTTTCCTAATTCCAACAGACCTCACTACCTCTGAGGATGCTTGCCATAGATAGATGCAGGCAAAATGTCAGGAGAAAATGCCTCTAGAACACGGCCATATAGATAAAAAAAACCTACAACATCCTAATAACACACAAGGATTTAAAAACCTATGGCCGGGCGAAATGTAATAGTTTAAATTTTTTAAAAAATAAATAAACGCTGGGCATGAACAAGGTAGGCTATATCTGGTATAGGGTTTTAAAAGAAATGAGGGAGCGCAATCCATCCCAATAGTAAAGTGCATTCTGAGGAGATATTGCTGGGAATGTATTGCCGAAGGCTTTCATGGTCGGAATCACTGGGTTGTTGTAGGTTTTTTCGGGCTGTATGGCCATGGTCTAGAGGCATTCTCTCTTAGAATAATAGAATCCTAGAGTTGGAAGAGACCTCACGGGCCATCCAGTCCAACCTCCTGCCAAGAAGCAGGAATATTGCATTCAAATCACCCCTGACAGATGGCCATCCAGCCTCTGTTTAAAAGCTTCCAAAGAAGGAGCCTCCACCACACTCCGGGGCAGAGAGTTCCACTGCTGAATGGCTCTCACAGTCAGTAAGTTCTTCCTCATGTTCAGATGGAATCTCCTCTCTTGTAGTTTGAAGCCATTGTTCCGCGTCCTAGTCTCCAGGGAAGCAGAAAACAAGCTTGCTCCCTCCTCCCTGTGGCATCCTCTCACATATTTATACATGGCTATCATATCTCCTCAGCCTTCTCTTCTTCAGGCTAAACATGCCCAGCTCCTTAAGCCGCTCCTCATAGGGCTTGTTCTCCAGACCCTTGATCATTTTAGTCGCCCTCCTCGGGACACATTCCAGCTTGTTAATATCTCTCTTGAATTGTGGAGCCCACAACTGGACACAATATTCCAGGGGTGGTCTAACCAAAGCGAAATAGAGGGGTAGAATTACTTCCCTAGATCTAGACACTATGCTCCTATTGATGCAGGCCAAAATCCCATTGGCTTTCTTTGCCGCCACATCACATTGTTGGCTCATGTTTAACTTGTTGTCCTGACGTTTCACCTAGCTCCAGCAGACAAGAGTCCTTTGTCTCACCCTGGTCATTCCACAGATATATAAACCCTTTTTCCTAGTTCCAACAGACCTCACTACCTCTGAGGATGCTTGCCATAGATGCAGGCGAAACGTCGGGAGAGAATGCCTCTAGACCATGGCCATACAGCCTCAAAAACTTTCCTAGCTCCAGCAGACAAGAGTTTATATATCTGTGGAATGACCAGGGTGAGACAACGGACTCTAGTCTGCTGGAGCTAGGTATGAATGTTTCAACTGACCACCTTGATTAGCCTATAACGATCTGACAGTGCCTCTCTGTTGTTGTGTTGTTGTAATTTTAGAGTTTTTTAAATACTGGTAGCCAGATTTTGTTCATTTTCATGGTTTCCTCCTTTCTGTTGAAATTGTCCATATGCCTGTGTATTTCAATGGCTTCTCTGTGTAGCACAACAACAGAGAGGAAACAAACAAGGACATCTAATCACCTCTCAACAAAAGTTTGCTCTATTTATTTATTTATTTATTTACTTTACTTGTATACCACAGTTTCTCAGCCCAACAGGCGACTCAACGTGGTTTACAAGCAGACAAGAGTCCTTTGTCCCACCTCTAGGCACTGTCAGGCCATTATATGCTAATCAAGGTGGTTAGTTGATACATTCACACCTAGCTCCAGCAGACAAGAGTCCTTTGTCCCACCCTGGTCATTCCACAGATATATAAACCCTTTTTCCTAGTTCCAACAGACCTCACTACCTCTGAGGATGCTTGCCATAGATGCAGGCGAAACGTCAGGAGAAAAATTGCCTCCAGAACATGGCCATACAGCCTGAAAAACCTACAACAACCCATTACTGGGAATCTTCCTTATTCTGGGAAGATTGCCTGTTCTACACTGTAGAATTAACGCAGCTCCAAACTGCCATGGAATCGTGAGAGTTGTGGCTTTGACACAGTCTTTGATCTTCCCTTTCTCTCTGCCAAACTGCAAATGTTAGGATTCTATAGCAAAGTGGTGCCAAACCGCATTAATATCCCAGTGTAGATGGGAAAGAGAGCTGAGGCAACACCTTGCAGAGCTGCTGTCCTTGGGAGAGCTCTTCGAAGGGGTAGCGCTGCGTGCACTTGGTGCAGGCGTAGAGAGCCGGGGCCGCCACCACCGCCGTCGTTGTTGCTGCTGCTGCTGCGGCCGCCCCAGAGGCCCCGGATGTTGCCGCCATCCGCCTTCCTCTCAGCGCAGGAGGCCTGTGGTGGGAGAAGCGGGCCCTTCCAAGCGGGCAGAGGGAGAGAGAGAAAAGCAGGGGATCCTCACAAACGCTCAATCCGCCGGTGTTTCCTCTCAAACGGCCGCTTCCTTCCTTCCTTCTTTCCTCCTTCCGCCTCACGACTCCGACTAGGCCGCGGCTTCTTTCTCCTCACACAAACAGAGGGAAGAGCGCGAGACGGGGGAGCCAATGAGCGAGCGAGGGAGCCCGCCCCTCTCCGCCAATCACAGCCGCGTCCGGTTGCGTCACGGCCAATCGGAGCTTCGGAACGTAGCCGGCGTGTTCCTATTGGACACGTTTTCCGCGCCTGCGCAGAAGCGCCCCCAAGTCGCCCCCTTTCCATTTCCCTTGACCTAAAGATCCAAAGCGGTGCCTTCCTCGCGTCCTCACAGCGCTATGGCTACTCATGCTGTCAATCATTTGTGACGCAAAGGAGGGCGGGTTCCTGTGGGCTCGCCCTGGTTGGCCAGTCGCTGTGTCACTCAATAAAGGAGTCCGGTGGGAGGGCTGGCGCTCATTCTTAAAGGGACAGGCGCCCTTTTGCAGCATGGCGATGGCAAGGGACCCGGAGCACTCGGTGAGGCCTAAGGAGGGGAAAGGGAAAGGTTGGGATTCGAAAGGGAAAAGCACTCTGCACATGCGCAGAAGGGATGCTCCATACTAGGCCTGGAAATGTAAACAAAGGGAGAGTTGGAGCATCTCTGACGGTGGCTGCCTTTCTCATCAGGCTCCTTCACTCTGGAGGGAGGTTTTCAAGGGGACAAGCATTGATTCAAACATGGTTTCCCCAAACTTTGGCCTTCCAAGTGTTTTGAACTTCATCTCCCAGAATCCCTCCTCACTGGCTAAAACAGCCGAGGCTTCTGGGAGTTGGAATCCAGAAACCTGGAAGACCAGAGTTCATTAAGATAATGAACGTATCTTTTAAAAAAAGGTCTATAAAATTAAGGAAAAATAATCTATATAAATAAAATGTAATGTTCGTTTGTGGGATTAACAGAACTCAAAAACCACTGGACAAATTGACACCAAATTTGGTCACAATACACCTAACTAAATAGCAGACTGTAGCCAGGAAATCAGAAGACGCTTACTTCTTGGGAGGAGAGCAATGTCCAATCTCGATAAAATAGTAAAGAATAGAGACATCAGACTGGCAACAAAGATCCGCCTAGTCAAAGCCATGGTATTCCCTGTAGTAACCTACGGATGTGAGAGCTGGACCTTAGGGAAGGCTGAGCGAAGGAAGATCGATGCTTTTGAGCTGTGGTGTTGGAGAAAGTTCTGAGAGTGCCTTGGACTGCGAGAAGATCCAATCAGTCCATCCTCCAGGAAATAAAGCCCGACTGCTCACTGGAAGGAAGGATACTAGAGACAAAGTTGAAGTACTTTGGCCACATCATGGAGAAGACAGGAAAGCTTAGAGAAGACAATTATGCTGTGGGAAATGGAAGGAAAAAGGAAGAGGGGCCGACCAAGGGCAAGATGGATGGATGGCATCTTTGAAGTGACTGGACTGACCTTGAGGGAGCTGGGGGTGGTAACGGCCGACAGGGAGCTCTGGCGTGGGCTGGTCCATGAGGTCACGAAGAGTCGGAGATGACTGAACGAATGAACAACAACAACACACCTAACAACCCAATGTATGTCTTTTACTTAAAAAAAATTGATTTTGTCATTTAGGAGTTGTAGTTGCTGGGATTTATAGTTCACCTACAATCAAAGAGCATTCTGAACCCCACCAACGATGGAATTGAACCAAACTTGGCACACAGTTCTCCCATGACCAACAGAAAATACTGGAAGGGTTTGGTGGGCATTGACCTTTGGTTTTGGAGTTGTAGTTCACCTACATCTAGAGATCACTGTGGACTCAAACAATGATGGATTTGGATCAAACTCTACATGAATACTCAATATGCCCACTGGTGGAGTTTGGGGAAAATAGACTCTGATATTTGGGAGTTGTAGTTGCTGGGATTTATAGTTCACCTACAATCAAAGAGCATTCTGAACTCCACCAACGATAGAATTGGGCCAAACTTCCCACACAGAACCCCATGACCAACAGAAAATACTGTGTTTTCTGATGGTCTTTGGTGACCCCGCTGACACCCCTTCACGACCCCCCCAGGGGTCCCAACCCCAGGTTGAGAAACGCTGCATTAAAATATAAGCATTCCATGCGCCTATCTTAAAAAAACATGTCTCTAAGAATTAAGGAAAAATAATATAAAATAATATGGAGGTGATAAGTTAGATTAAATCAGATAGACAAGAAATATTTTAATCAATGTTGGAGAGGTTGCCAGTAATTAGGTTCATACATTCATCTGTGGTGGTCCTGTAAATGTATTTTTAAAAAATTGGGAAACAGTATTTAAAGATTTCTCTAGCTGAAGTAGTCTGCAGTGCCTTTCATGTTCCTTGATTCGTGTTTGGGCAATGCTGCGTTTGGTGGTCCCTATGTAGATACTCCACCTCAGACATCAGAAGAGCTGCAAGCCACAAGAGTCAAGACAAAGATCCACCCACTGGAAAAGTTTTCTTGCCATACATCAAGGGAACAACTGACCACATAGGGAAGCTGATGAGGAAACACAACATACAAACTATCTACAGACCCACCAAGAAAATCCAACAAATGCTTCGTTCAGCAAAGGACAAGAGGGATCCTCTCACGTCTGCAGGAGTCTACCGTATACCATGCAGCTGTGGACAAGTCTACATAGGGACCACCAAACGCAGCATTGCCCAAACACGAATCAAGGAACATGAAATGCACTGCAGACTACTTCAACCAGAGAAGTCAGCCATAGCAGAGCACCTGATGAACCAACCTGGACACAGCATATTATTTGAGAACACAGAAATGCTGGACCACTCTAACAACCACCATGTCAGACTACACAGAGAAGCCATTAAAATACACAAGCATGTGGACAATTTCAACAGAAAGGATGAAACCATGAAAATGAACAAAATCTGGCTACCAGTATTAAAAAACTCTAAAATTACAACAGCACAACAACAGCGAGGAAACAAACAAGGACATCTAATCACCTCTCAACAAAAGTTTGCTCTAGGCACTGTCAGGCCATTATATGCAAATCAAGGTGGTCAGTTGAAACATTCACACCTAGCTCCAAGCAGACAGAGTCCTTTGTCCCACCCTGGTCATTCCACAGATATATAAACCCATTTTCCTAGTTCCAACAGACCTCACTACCTCTGAGGATGCTTGCCATAGATGCAGGCGAAACGTCAGGAGAGAATGCCTCTAGACCATGGCCATATAGCCCAAAAAAACCTACAACAACCCAGTCATTCCGGCCATGAAAGCTTTCGACAATACATGGCACTTTATGTTTCATAGATACCTTATTGTACATATAGCCCAAAGGTAGTTTTGTACACAATGTTTATAATATATTATCGAAGGCTTTCATGGCCAGAATCACTGGGTCGTTGTAGGTTTTTTTTGGGCTATATGGCCATGTTCTAGAGGCATATCCATATTTTCGGTTGTTTTCTGAAAGTCATTAGAGCATTGGGACATTGCAGATTAAGTAGGATGCTTGCCATAGATACAGGCGAAACATCAGGAGAGAATACCTCTAGAACATGGCCATATAGCCCGAAAAAACCTACAACAACCCAATGTTTATAATGATTTTGTGTATGAAACAAAGTTGTTTTTAGGGTTGTTGACCAATTTGGGTCTCTTTTTGGAGAGAATTAGTGGCATATAAGAATAATTAGAAGAAGAAGTCAACAAAGATGAAGGCACCAAGTAAACGGGAACGACAATCTAGCACAAACATCCCAGCCATATTTTAGTATGACTTTGCAAGGAAACAGAAACTTCAGCATCAACACCCCAGCCCATCATACATCTTTTAGTATGGCTTCTGGAAAATTTATTTTCACGACTTTGCAGGGGAAACAGAAACTGTATAGGTCTTCTTAAAATAAAATATAAGCCTGGCCTGGATAGAAGAGAATATTTTTAGCTGGTGTTGGATGTCTGCTGTTATCAGGACCAGCCAGCATGGCCAGTGGTGAGGTATGATAACGTTTGTAATTCAATACAATTAGGAGAGCATTGGGTTCTGTTCACCTCCTCAAAGTAGCCTGTACATAGGTTTACTAGAATTTATATCCAGTTGAAAGTATATAATTGGGACCTTAAAATCAACCTTTATTAAATCCTTCAAAATGTGTAGTTCTAAAAGTTTCCACTGATGTTTCCCTCGCAATTCTGAAACACCTTCTGATACTTCCTTTTCATTGTCTCCATGCTTGCATGAATGGTTCAGAAGAGTACATCATTCTTACTTAGTCTACTCCCTAATTTTCACTTCTCCAGCTCGGAACAATTCTAGGAATTCAACGAGAGGGATTTAATCATAATGTTGCATAGAAACCAGCTAAGCAACATGCTTATTGATTGCTCATGTTAGACCCAGGCTGATGTGGTGGGTAAAGCAGGTCATTAATTGAGAGTATGTGGGAGGCAGGTAAGGACCAGAGCGGCAAGGCTACATCATGTCAGCTCAGCTTGTGCTTTTACCAGCATTGACCTCCTGTTGTATTTTTTGGTCGTTATTTCGAATAGCCATCATGCCTACTTTGGCTTAGGGCAACCCAATGAATGACAGACCTCCAACCCTAACTTTACTATTGAATGTACAGATATTGTTACACTCCACCCCATCAAACCCAGATAGTATTATTAATGACCAGTAAGATAATGGTTCTGCATTACTTAATTTTCCTTCCTCTTGCAAATTGAAATAGAAGAACCATGTGTCTTTTGGAGAACAATAACAATTTATTACTTGCTTTCAGGACGCTCTTCGTGCAAGCAACAGATCCACATCATTCACAGATGGGTTTTCAGCAGCTTCGTTTGCAGAGTACCCAAGGAACAAACCTTTCATTAACACCGACTTGGAGCGATCCCCTGTCAGACCAGTTACCGCGTATCCAGAGAGCAACAGCAGAGGTAGGCCTGTGTTCCAGAGGAAGTGGGGTTGACTTTTGGGAATTATGTGTCAGTTTGGATTGGTAAATCAGATTGCAAACTTTGTAATGAAAAGCCTATATAAAGATACTATAATGCAGGTGTCCTCAAACTTTTTAAATAGAAGGCCAGGTCACTGACCCTCAAACTGTTGGAGGACCGGATTATAATTTTAAAAACACTTTAAAACAATACAATAATTAAAATGAAGAACAATTTTAACAAATATAAACTTATTAGTATTTCAATGGGAAGTGTGGGCCTGCTTTTGGCTGATGAGATAGGATTGTTGTTGTTGTGTGCTTTCAAGTTGTTTCAGACTTAGGTTGACCCTGAGCAAGGGCTGGGTAAATGACCTTGGAGGGCCATATTCAGCCCTCGGGCCTTAGTTTGAGGACCCCTGCTATAATGTTTTAAATCATTTTTAAATGGGTGCATGTATCGTAACCGTTTGCAGGTGTTTTAAAAATCAGTCTGACTGCTTAGAACTGATGGATCAGCCTTCCTTGGAGCTATGGTACATGTTAGAGCATTGACATTATATACTTAGAATTAGGGCTGGGCGGTTTCGTTTGTTAATTTCGTAATTCATTATTGATTCGTATTTAAATTAGCTTACGATCCGATATTGAGCCATGCAGGAGCAACTAAAAATCGAAATGAATTTTTCAATTCATTTCGAAATTGTTTCGTTATTATTTCCGTATGTCTGGTGCAAGTTTTATAGTTGTTGTTTGTTTTATCAGTGATAAAAAAATAAATTATCACACCAACAGTCAACAACAGAGGGAGAGGGAAGCTTCAGAAGTTCCCCCTGTCCCATTTGGAGGTTTTTTTTAGCGTATTGTGCAATCGCGTCCGCCATTAATGAATCAATTTGAAATTTACGAAATTTCGTAAATAACGAAATTTTTTTTAAAGAAAAATTCGGAATTCTTTTAAAAAACGAAACGCAATGGACCCCCTAAAAACGAAATGAGTTTAGAAACAAATTTTTCCATTGTTACCCAGCCCTAGATATAGTTGGAAGAGACCTCATGGGCCATCCAGTCCAACCCCCTGCCAAGAAGCAGGAAATTGCATTCAAAGCACCCCCGACAGATGGCCATCCAGCCTCTGTTTAAAAGCCTCCAAAGAAGGAGCCTCCACCACACTCTGGGGCAGAGAGTTCCACTGCTGAACAGCTCTCACAGTCAGGAAGTTCTTCCTAATATTCAGGTGGAATTTCCTTTCTTGTAGTTTGAAGCCATTGTTCCACATCCTAGTCTCCAAGGCAACAGAAAACAAGCTTGCTCCCTCCTCCCTATGACTTCCCCTCACATATTTATACATGGCTTCATCATGTTTCCTCTCAGCGTTGTCTTCTGCAGGATAAACATGCCTAGCTCTTGAAGCTACTCCTCATAGGGCTTGTTCTCCAGAAGGAAGAGCCCTTTCCAGAGTTGGTTTAAGAAATATTATAAATGTAACCTCTGAAGATATGTGCCTCTAAGAGTCAAGAAACATTGAAACCATTAAGCTTCTGCTACATTTCAATAAACTTGTTACAGTTTCTTATAAAGCCCGGTCTCTGTTGCAAATCCTTTCCAAGTTAAGTCACGCTACATCTTGAAGAAAGACCAATTCAATATTACTAGCTATTAGCTACACTATCAATTTAATAAGCTCTTACATAGTGGTGGCTCCTTTACAAAATCATTACAAATTGGTGGCTTCTTACACCTTGTTACAATGAAATACAATGTGACACAAAGACACAGACTAAGGCTTCTCGTTTCATTTCCAGCTCTGGAGATGAGGGGTGGGCAATAGTTGTGGGAGCAGAGATTCTGTGCATCCCTTCTTCCCCACAAAGACTCAAGTAACTTTGAAGGAACAAGTAAACATTCAAAATCTAAAAATATGTTTTTTGTCAGGGCCCAAATGTACTCTCAGTGGCCCTGGAGCTGTTTTCATAGGTGCTGAAATATATAAAATGTGCAGAAAACTCTTGTGTATTTTTATTTATCACATATACAAGTTCTGTATTTGCTCTAAGGAGCTCAGAACAGCTTCATTGTCTTAAGCTGTTTTATCATTTCAACTGCCCCTGTGAAGTAGGTTAAGACCCAGAGAAAGGTGATTTGTTTGAGGCTACTGAGTAAATGACATAGGGCCTTTCCACTCAGCCATATAACCCAGAATATCAAGGCAGAAAATTCCAGAATATCTGCTTTGAACTGAAATATATCACAGTGTGGACTCAGATAACCCAGTTTGAAGCAGATATTGTGGGATTTGCTGCCTTGATATTCTGGGATATAGGGCGGTGTGGAAGGGCACTGAGTCCACAGTGCCATATATCCCAGTTCAAAGCAGCTGTGTGGAAGGGGCCACAGTTATTCAGCTGTGTGGAAGGGGCCACAGTTCCAGTCTGAATTCTGCTGTCCCGAACCTAAAGCCTACACTCTGTCGACAGCCTCACACCAACAATGCACCAATCTTATTATATTTGCAATTATGTTTTGTCATTAGCAATATTCTCAGCTCTAAAGAACCTGCAGGAAAAGATACGACGGTTGGAGCTGGAAAGGATTCAAGCAGAGGAGAATGTGAAAAACCTGACCAGAGAAACTTCAGATTATAAGAAAGTGTTAAATGAGCAGCTGATGGAACGAGAGCAGTCCAAGAATGAGGTCTCCAAGAAAAATGAAGGTAGATTGGTTTTTCTCCTTGATACAGATGGGATTGTGGTGGTGGTAGGATTGGGGAAGATACTGGTATTTTGACTGTTAATTTCGAAGATTGTATGTTTCTATGTATTATACAATAAAATTCCTTTAAAAAAAAGAGATACAGATTCAACCGTAGGATTGTTTCTGTGATTAACTAAGGATGAGGGAAAGGGAATTCTCTTGGCCCTCATTTTAATGTTAACTTCCTAATATTTATTTTTCATATTGGTATGTGCAGTGAAATATGCAAACTTTTCTCATTTTGCAATACAATTTTATAATCAAAAATTACATTAAAATGCTTCCATCTGGTCACACTTGCACACAAAAATGTATATAGGAGTGAAAATAGCATTATATTGTGGGAAATGTCCTCCAAAAATGCACATATTGGCAAAGGTTGACCTCTGGAATAGAGAAATAGGTGGAAGGCTGCCATAGTCATTTGCAAACATCTCTGTCTATGGAGTAGAGCCAGACAAGCTCTCTGGGTTTGTTACAGAGCTAGAGGTGATGAAACAGATGGGATGCTAGCTAGAGCAGTGCTGGCAGAAAATGTGGAATGAATCTGAGCAACATGGGGTTGAGCAACCTTTCTGAAACCCGCTTCAGAGTAGTCATGATGGTGAAAACCTTTTTCTTTTCTGTCATCATTTTGCTTATCCAAAGCAAATGTTTGGGGTTACCGGAGGCCTGTTATCTTCTGACTCAGAAGAAAGCATTACCTATGCAATGGTCTTTTATGATAAATTTTCAGTAGGCTTTTCAGAGTGAGAAAAATGCTCACTTTATGGCGTGGTGGATATTGTTGGGATTCAACCCCACATTGCCCAAGTCTCAGGTCCTCAGTGAGGAACAGTATAGTTAGCTTAGTATATGCTGTGACCGCTTAATACATGTTGTGGTGATCCCCAACCATAAAATTATTTTCATTGCTTCTTTATAACTATAATTTTGCTATTGTTATGAATCGTAATATAAATATCTGATATGCAGGATGTATTTTCATTCACTGGACCAAATTTGGCACATATACCCAATACATCCAAATCTGAATACTGGTGGGGGAGGGGGTGATTTTGTCATTTGAGAGTTGTAGCTGTCTGAGTAGGATTGTTTTCCAAGATCGGTGTACTGGCGGTGGGTATGTAGGTGACTGTGGAGTCCTATTCTTGATCTGCATGTTCTCCCGCAGTGAGGGCATTGGTTTCCAGGTGGAAGGCGGTCCTGGTCGGGATTGGCTTGACGCGCCTTCCTCTTGGCATGTTTCTCTCTTTCGTGCCTCTTCAAATTCTGCAGCACTGCTGGTCACAGCTGACCTCCACTGGAGCGCTCAAGGGCCAGGGCTTCCCAGTTCTCAGTGTCTATGCCAGAGTTTTTAAGGTTGGCTTTGAGCCCATTTTTAAATCTCTTTTCCTGCCCACCAACATTCTGTTTTCCGTTCTTGAGATGGTGGTCGGGCATCCAGACTATGTGGCCGGTCCAGCGGAGTTGATGATGGAGGACCATCACTTCAATGCTGGTGGTCTTTGTTTCTTCCAGCATATGGGGCTATACACAATAAAACACTAGCGAGTACGTCCACACCTCCACTCAACTTGCATAAACAACCAGCCTGAACCCAACAGACATGAGCTCACTGAAACACAATAGAAAAATAATGAGAACACCAGCAAGGAAGCCTCTTCAGATATCCTACAAATAAGCAGCCTTACTCCTAGAGACACAACAGCCTTAACCCAACAAACTGCTCCCAAAGACTTTCTAGGGCTGTTTAATCTCATAGGCAAAAGTTTATGTGCGCTGTTTCTTCTACACATCAGCACAAAATATCCCTGATGGCCAAACTCTTGTTCACTGAGTCCAGAGACTGGGCTGCAGATATCATGTCTTACTTAGGAGGGGTTGGGAATCTTTGGTCCTTGAAGTGCACTTCTCACATTTCCTGACTTTTAGCTATGCTTGTTGAGGCTTTGGAACTTGAAGTCCGAACGTCTTGGAAACTTAGGATTCCTTTATTCTGCTGTATTGATAGATTCATGGAATTAGAATGTGTAGTCTGGTTCCAGAACTGGTACAGCCACCATAATATCCAACTGTTCTTATTTCTGTTGAGCTGACAGACACCTCTACAGATCTCTCTAATAAACAAAGATGGTATGATATGAAAACTGATCTCCTTCTTGCTGTCCTTTTTTCAGAGTTGGCAGGACACCTGGAAGGTGCTGAGGCACGCTGTGGCCTTTTGGAAAAGCAGCTGGAATACATGAAGCAGATGATAGCGCAGGCAGAACGTGACAAGGGCTCTGTCTTGGAGAAGCAGGTGTGTTGAGTCTTGGTGTAATTCCTATCACACTAGATGTGATACACTCAAGCCTAGATAAGTTTCTTTTTGAAATGTCCATACTAGTCGTTGCACTGCACAGAAGTAACTTTTCCAAGTTCTGGGACACCCACAACAGAAATTCTAAAGTGAACATTACATTAGTTCACTTTAGAATTTGCAACTAGTTGTAAGTTGTCTCCAAGTCAACTTCAACCTATGGAAACCTTACGAATGAGAGACCTCCTAAGTTCTGATCAAGTGCCCTGGTGGCACAATGGGCTAAAGCCTTGTGCCAGCAGGACTGCTGATCAAACAGTCGGGAGTTCAAATCGGGGAGTGGGGTGAGCTTCTGTCTGTCAGCTCCAGCTTCTCATTCGGGGACATTAGAGAAGCCTCCCGCATGATGGTAAAACATCTGGGCGTCCCCTGGGCAACGTCCTAGCAGACGGTCAATTCTCTCAGACCAGAAGCGACTTGCAGTTTCTCAAGTCACTCCTGACACGAAAGAAACAAACAAACAAGTCTTCCAGAGTGAGGGCTGATTGAGCCACTCCCTTGATTGAGCCACCTCCTCTTTTCCCATTATTTTCAACCTCTCCAAATATTTATTTTTCTAGTAAGTCATGACTTCTCATCTTATTTTCCAAATCGAACAGTCTCTGTTCAGTCATCTTTGTTGTTTATTTGTTCAGTCGCTTCCAACTCTTCGTGACCTCATAGACCAGCCCACGCCAGAGCTCCCTGTTGGCTGACCACCCCCAGCTCCTTCAGAGTCAAGCCAGTCACTTCAAGGAGGCCATCCATCCATCTTGCCCTTGGTTGGCCCCTCTTTCTTTTTCCTTACATTTTTCCCAGCATCATTGTCTTCTCCAAGCTTTCCTGTCTTCTCATTATGTGGCCAAAGTACTTCATCTTTGCCTCTAATATCCTTCCCTCCAGTGAGCAGTAGGGCTTTATTTCCTGAAGTATTCACTGGTTGGATCTTCTCGCAGTCCAAGGCACTCTCAGAATTTTCCTCCAGCACCCCAGTTCAAAAGCATCTATCTTCCTTCGCTCAGCCTTCCCTATGGTCCAGCTCTCACATCCATAGGTTGCTACAGAAAATATGCCAGTGTGATATTTCTACTCTTCACTATTTTATTGAGATTGGTCATTGCTCTCCTCCCAAGAAGTAAACATCTTCTGATTTCCTGGCTGCAGTCTGTCTGCAGTAATCTTTGCACCTAGAAATACAAAGTCTGTTACTGCCTCCACGTTTTCTCCCTCTATTTGCCAGTTATCAATCAGTCTGGTTGCCATAATCTTGGTTTTTTTGATGTTTAACTGCAACCCAGCTTTTGCACTTTCTTCTTTCACCTTGGTTAGAAGGCTCAGTTACAACTAAGACTTGTGCGCCAGCTGCGCCCGTACCTCGCTAAGGCTGATCTGACTGGGGTGGTCCATGCCTTAGTCACCTCCAGACTGGATTACTGCAATGCGCTCTACGTGGGGCTGCCCTTGAAAACGGCTCGGAAATTCCAATTGGTCCAACGGGCAGCAGCCAGGATGTTAACGGGGGCCCATTACAGAGAGAGGTCAACCCTCCTGTTTAAGGAGCTCCACTGGCTGCCGTTTATTTTCCGAGCCCAATTTAAGGTGCAGGTGCTTACCTACAAAGCCCTGAACGGTTTGGGACCACCCTACCTGCGTGACCGTATCGTTGTCTACGAACCCACAAGTTCACTCCGGTCATCTGGAGAGACCCTGCTCGTGATCCCGCCCGCGTCGCAGGCGCGTTTGGTGGGGACGCGGGACAGGGCCTTCTCTGTGGTGGCCCGCCTCTGGAATGCCCTCCCGAAAGATCTCAGACAGGCCCCTACTTTGGCGGTTTTCAGAAAGAACCTGAAAACTTGGCTGTTCCAACGTGCCTTCTCAGATTAGGAACCCCACTACCAAAGCCCAGAAGCACTTTAGTAGAGTCAAGATCACCTTCACTTATATTTTAATCCCATATCCCTCCGACACTTCAGCACTTTTAACCCTGTACCCTACTCCGGCCGGCTCAGTTTTTAATAATGTCCTGTTGTATTGCTATTGCTATTGTTTTTCTGCTTTAACTGTTTTATTTGCTATGTATTGTGTTGTTGTATTGTGTTGGGCTCCGGCCTATTGTAAGCCGCATCGAATCCCTTGGGAGATGCTAGCGGGGTACAAATAAAGTTATAATAATAATAATAATAATAATAATAATAATAATAATAATAATATTGCTGGAGTCTTCCTTGCAGGATCTTGAGCATTACCTTACTGGTATGTGAAATAAGTGCCACTGTACAAAAGTTTGAGCATTATTTAGCATTACCCTTTTTCAGTCATCATTGCTTCTAGGGAAAAGTGTGTATATACCTTCAAGTTGCTTGTCAACTTATGGTGACTGTGAATTTCTTTAGGGTTTCTTAGGCAATTAATTAAACTTACAGGTGGTTTGCCAGTTCCTTCATCTGAAATATACCCTATAGTACCTGATATTCATCAGAAGTCTCCTATCCAAGTACTAACAAGTGGCAACCCTGCTTAGCTTTAAATATTTGGTGTTTATAGAGACTTTTGACATAATTTATTTGTCTTTATAGCAGTCAACAGTATCTGCAGAACTCCTCTCCAGCACTGCATTTTGGATGTGTTGCTTTCCCCTGATCAGCTTCCTTCACTATGCAACTCTTTAACAATCGTAATTAGAAATTGTAAATACAATGTCAGCTTAACCTTAGTATTCAATGATATTTCTTTACACTTCAGGATCTTGTCTATTTTTTAAATAGCTGCCTTTCCAAATTTTAGTCTTTTTCTGATTTCTTAACTGTAATGTGCATTATGATTAATGGTTGAGTCAAAGTATGGAAATTTTGATCTATTTCAATGTCTTCATAATCTGCTTTAAAGTCATTACATTTTTGTGCGTGTTATTTTTATTTTCTTTAACATCTTTATTTACAGTTCTTATATTCCGCCCTTCTCACCCCGCAGGGGACTCAGGGCGGATTACAGTAAACACATATATGGCAAACATTCAATGCCAGTTTGACAAACAACATTTAACACACAAATACACCGAGGCTATTTAACTTTTTTTTTTCTGGCCGCCAGGGGAGCTGCTGCTTTTCATCGTCCATCAACGACACCGATGAAGTTCTTCCGCATTCCACATTCCCCGGAGTCTTTTTTCTTTATGGCCTCATAAATTAGTTAAATTTAGCCTCCCACACAAGGTGGTACCTTATTTTCCTACTTGACAGATGCAACTGTCTTTCAGGTGCAAAGGTCGACAACGGGCTACACAATGGCTGGACACCCACTCCAGCCCGGGCTGGCTTCGAACTCATGACCTTTTGGTCAGAGTGATCTTAATGCAGCTGAAACTCAGCCAGCTGCGCCATAATAATATCTTTGCATTTCCTTCCTTGAATAATCATTTCAAGTCTTTGCTGATGGTAGTGTGATATCATCGGCATATATTAATTTGCTGATTCCACCTTCTGAATCTAAACCTACTTTATGTATGATATATTCTGCATAAAAGTTAAACAGAGAGGGTGATAAAATGCAGACATTTCTCCATATTCTGTTCTGTGGGAGCCTCTTGTTCCAAAGATAGAAAAACTCTTTGTTTACATCACTTCCCTTTCACCATACAATGAAGTACCCTTCTTTTCTCCTTCCCTTTCTAGGCCACATTGGAAAATGAGCGAATGTTTGACCAAACCCATTTGAAATCTAAATTGGAAAGGCTGGATCTCCTTGAGAAAGAATATGTCAGGCTTAACACAATGCAGTCTCTTGCAGAGGTGAGTCTTGGGCTCAGCATTTGCAATCAGACTTGTCTTTATGGTGGATGCCAATAATCTATTTGTAATTACCATATATACTCAAGTATAAGCTGACCCGAATATAAGCCGAGGTATCTAATTTTACCACAAGAAACTGGGAAAGCGTATTGACTCAAATATAAGAGAAAATAATGGAACTGTGAAATACATGAATTCTCTGTATTAGTTTTATTGACATGGCAAAAGAGAATTTTGTGCTCATCGCTGGGATTATGAGAAGAAACCAAGTGGGAGGAGGATAGTCTGTGTTCTGTGTTGGGATGATACTTGGCTGTAATATTTTTCCAATTGTTTTGTGTTTTTCCCCTGGTGGCACAGTGGGTTAAACTGCTGAGCTGCTGAACTTGCTGTCTAAATGGCAGTAGATTCTAATCCGGGGAGCGGGGTGAGCTCCCGCTGTTAGCCCCAGCTTCTGCCAACCTAGCAATCGAAAACATGCAAATGTGAGTAGATCAATAGGTACCTCCTTGTGGAAGGTAATGGCGCACCATGCAGTCATGCTGGCTACATAATCTTGAAGGTGTCTACAGACAAATCCGACTCTTTGGCTTAGAAATTGAGATGAGCACCACCACCACTCCCAAAATTGGACACGACTAGACTTAAATGTCAAGGGGTAACCTTTACTTACCTTTTACCTTTGTGTTTCTCTCTCCTCCCGTCCCGTTTTCTTTTTGACTTAGAAAAAAATGGAAGAGCTGGAAAAGAAACTTGAGCAGGAGGAACATGCGCGGAAACTGGTGCAGCAAAAGGCTGCCGAGGTAAATCATGGTGATGTAGTCTGTTTGCTTTGTCTGAACATGCCAGCTTTCCCCAACCTAGTGTTCTCCAGTGGTCCTGGACTCCATTATGAGTGTTCAGAGTGGCCATCAAGCAGATAACACATTGTTGATTGGACAGCCTTTTGTAGTCTCTAGTCTAAAGCCAGGATTTAGCACAACAGATTAACTGCCAGCTGCAGTTAATCTTACCAACCAAAAGGTTGACAGTTCAAAGCCTGGGCCATGGTGAGCTCCTGGCCTTTTAGCCCAGCTTCTGCCTACCTATCAGATCAAAACCAGCAAATTGCAAGTAGATAAATAGGTACCGCTTTAAAGTGGGGAGGTTAAAGCACTCATAAGGAAATCATAGAATCATAGAATCAAAGAGTTGGAAGAGACCTCATGGGCCATCCAGTCCAACCCCCTGCCAAGAAGCAGGAATATTGCATTCAAATCACCCCTGAAAGATGGCCACCCAGCCTCTGTTTAAAAGCTTCCAAAGAAAGAGCCTCCACCACACTCCGGGGCAGAGAGTTCCACTGCTGAACGGCTCTTACAGTCAGGAAGTTCTTCCTCATGTTCAGATGGAATCTCCTCTCTTGTAGTCTGAAATGCCAGAAAAATGCCAGCAATTCGATCAAGGATGAAGTTACAAACAAAGTTCTTCAGCAGGGAAGATGGAGCGGCAGCACCCTCTGGTGGCTGGAACTGAGCACAGCCTCCAAGATACCAAAGATGGGGAAACTTTATTTATTTATTTATTTATTTATTTATTTATTTGCAGTATTTATATTCCGCCCTTCTCACCCCGCAGGGGACTCAGGATGGATTACAATACATAAAAATGGCAAACATTCAATGCCAATTAGACATACAACATAAATAGACAGACACAGAGGCAATTTAACATTCCAGCTTTTTCCTGCTGCATGAGGGTATGCTCGATTCTGGCCACAGGGGGAGCTGCTGCTTCACCGTTCATTTGTGACACCGACTCCTTAGAAGGAGTACTTCCTCATTCTTCTGCACACTGCTGGAAGATTTCATGGTGTCATTAATTAGTTAAATTAGCCTCCCCGCATAAAGCGGTACCTAAATTTCCTACTTGACAGATGCAACTGTCTTTTGGGCTGCATAGGTCAACAGCAAGCTAGACTATGAATGATCAGGAGCTCACTCCAACCCAGGCTGGCTTCAAACTATAACCTTTTAGCCAGCTATCTGCGCCACAACCCTGTCCTCTATCTATGTACAGTTGTCTGTCTTGTCATTGTATAACGACATTGAATGTTTGCCGTATATGTGTTCTGTGATCCACTCTGAGCCCCCTTCAGGGTGAGAAGGGCAGAATATAAATACTTGGAAGGACAAGGAAGCGCATTCAAATGAAACCCTGCATTCAGATTTTCTGGACTCCTTTCTCCAGCCCCTGATCTGTTCTATTTGATCTGTTGGGGTCATACCTTAATCTCAGGTAATAAGAAAACTTTGATCAAAACTCAGAAAACTTCCCAGAATCCTCAACCATGGTTAGTACCTGTGTTGTTTTTGACAACAAACCCCAAGATGTCCATAGTGTTTGAGATTTGGTGAGGCTCATGTTGGTTGATCCCAAATCATGCTCTGATGATGCTCAGTGCCAATGTGATGTGATGGTAGAAAAGCATCTGTCTCTGATGAAACAGAGTGCTTGTGATGGTGTTCAGATGACCCAGGGGTGTTTTAATCCTATCATCACCCTTACTCTCCTATCCTTTTCTCAAGTCAAAAAGTCAGCCTTAAAATGAAATTGTGCTGTTAACTAAATAGGAAACTGTAAAGAGCACTAAAAACCATCAATTCTAGAAATCTGCCTGGAACAAAAGTCTTAGCCTATTAATTGTGATCAAATGGTGATAAGCTAAGGGCTATTTCATCCCCAGATTTCATCAACTATTTCTAATTTAAATTTTAAAAAATCCTTGTTTTATCTTGGCAGCTTCAATCTGGATTGGAGACAAACAGGAAGTTGCTACAGGCACAAACCCAGTTGGTGCACGTAGAGACACTGCCTTCGAAACCAAAGAAGTTGAAGAAGAAATCAAAACATCTAGAGAAGGTACAATACTGGTGATTACATCAGGGAGGGTGTAAACTTATAAACTCTTCCATCGGATTTTTTAAAATGAATTTTACTATTATTATTCTTTCCAAAGTGTGGACATTATAACATAACTTTCACTATATAAAGCCATCAATTAGCAAGAGTAATTTTACATTTTCGAATAATAGTAAAACATATACTGTAAATACTCGAATATAAGCCTAGTTTTTCAGTCCTTTTTTTAGGCTGAAAAAGTCTCCCTCGGCTTATACTCGAGTCAAGGTTTTTTATTATTTTACTCTATTGTTATTATTATTACATTAATTGTTTTACTCTATTATTATTACATTTATTATTTTATTCTTTATTATTGTTATTATTACATTTATTATTTTACTCTATTATTATTGGAAGGATATGTAAACATACATTTACACTGAAGAAGGTTAGAATAATGCTTTAATCAGAGGACAGACTTATCTTATTTATTCAAAAACATTTAACCTACCGATGCCTCAGTTAAGGCAATTTTATTGGTGTCTATTTTTATTTTGGAATATTCAGGTAGGTGCTGCATTTCCCACCTTCGGTTTATACTCGAGTCAATCCGTTTTCCCAGTTTTTTGTTGTAAAATATGGTGCCTCGGCTTATATTCGAGTCGGCTTATACTCGAGGATATACAGTATGTCCTATTTGAAAGTAAACTTCTTGGCCCTACAACATTTATTTATTTATTTATTTATTTATTTATTTATTTATCATGTCAGAAGCAAATTGAGAATACAGTTATAATATATAGAAAAGCACAAACAAAGTTAAGAACTTCACATTTTCCTCGGTTTCCTTTGACTAGAAGCTGGCCACTTGGAGTGCCTCTGGTATGGCTGTCAAGAGGTCCTCCATTGTGCATGTGGCAGGGCTCAGACCGCATTGTAGTAGGTGGTCTGTGGTTTGCTCTTCTCCACACACGCATGTCATGAGCTCCGCTTTGCAGCCCATTTCTTAAGGTTGGCTCTGCACCTCGTGTTGCCAGAGCGCAGTCTGTTCAGCGTCTTCCAGGTCGTCCACTCTTCTGTATGCCCAGGAAGGCATTTCTCATCTGTTTTGAGCCTGCCACTTTTGGACTCTCGCTTGCTCAGGTGTTCCTGCAAGTATCTCTGTAGATCTTAGAAAGCTGTTTTTTTTATTTAAGGCCTTAGCATGCTGGCTGATATCTGAACAGAGGATGAGCTGAAGATGTCAATGCCTTGGTCCTTACATTGCTGGCTGTATTGGCTGCTACTGTCAGATGGTGCAATACAGGCCAAACAGTATCATTTCTCCAGTGATGTTGGGCGTAGACATCCTGTGATAATGTGGCATGTCTCATTAAGAGCCACATCCACTGTTTTAATGTGGTGAGATGTTTCCGCACTGGGTATGCATATTCAGCACCAGAGTAGCAAAGCGCATGGGCAGATGTTCCCCTGGTTGTGCTAGTTAGCTTTCATATGATTTTATTTTTAGCACCCATTTTTTCCTTTTTATTCAAGAAGTGCTTCTTATAAGTCAGAGCATGCTTCAGAGTGACTCCCAGGTATTTGGTTGTGCTGCAATGCTCCAGTGGGAGTCCTTCCCAGGTAATCCTCAGAGTTCGAGATGCTTGTCTGTTCTTAAGATGAAAAGTACATGTCTGTGTCTTAGATGGATTAGGAATCAGCTGGTTTTCCCTGTAATAGGCAGTAAGATCACCTAAAGCTTTGGAGAGCTTCTGTTCAGCCATCTCAAAGCTCACTGCTTGAGCGGTGATGGCACGATCATCAGCATAGATGAAACTCTCTGTCCCTTCTGGCAGTGGCTGATCATTTATGTAAATGTTAAACATTGATGGAGCAAGCACGCTTTCTTGAGGGAGGCCATTCTTCTGTTTTCACCATCTGCTTCTCTGGCCCTGGAACTCAATAAAAAGCTACTTTCTGTCGAGCTTGCAGAAGTCAGGATCTGCAAAACAACTGTAGAAAGGCAGGGCCTCATCTGTTCTTTAAACTGAAGGCTGGAGTAGAGGTAAAATTTCGTCTAATTCATGCATGAGTGACTGCATAAAGCTTAGAAGTGTTCTTTTTTCTTCTTCTTTCTTTTCTTTTCGGACTGCGACTCTCAGAATCCACCCACACACAGGGAATTGTAGTCAAAAAATGAAATGGTGCTGAGCACAATAAACTGTAGAAAGACGGAATTAATAGTCACCATATCATTGTGGTGAGCATAGCTGGGTTCCTTGTAGTGAAATAAGTTTCTTTTTGTCTTTCTATCTTTTAGAATGACTCCACAATTTTCCATTCCCATGCACAGCCCCATTACAGGTTACGGCTGGGTGACGTACCCTTTGTAGCTGGAAAGGTAAGGAAGGGATCACTTCGAGTAGCAAGATAACTCATTGGTAATTTCATGCTCAGAGGTAGTAGTTCACTGTTGTGTACAAATTGTGGCTTTGGCATATCGCTCCTATCATCCCTTGTCAGCAGAGCTTATGATTGGGTAATCTGTGATTCCATAGAACTGAAGATTGGAAAAAGTCGGCAAATTACCTTTGAAAACTAGAGCAGATTGCAGATTTGTCAAAATGTTTTACTTTAACTTTTAGAAGCCTGCCAGGTTAGGAATTTTGGGGGTTGAAGTCCAAACCCAGATTCAGTAGGCAGTGCTGGCCCTGGAGGAGCCACTGTTCTCACCTGAAATAAGACAGCTTTGTGCAAACTAACATTCATCTTAGTAAAAAAATGCATATTGCTGCTTCCTTCTTGGTATTAGATTTCCAAAGTTGCCATTGTTCCTTTGTTTGAAATGGGTTATTAGCAACATGTTTATTATGAGCATGTTATTAATGGCATGATTTTGCCAGCAGGGTGGGTGTTTGTATTTGCTGTTTGTATTGACTTTTGGGGAAAAAAATGGCATTCATAACTTTTTTGAGAAGAAAAATGATGTCAAATGATGTTTGGCAAATGTAAATCTCCATGAACATCTGGAGACGACCTTTTGAAAACCACTAGTCACAGAAAGGCATGACCTTGTTAGAAGTCAACCCTTTGAAAAAGTGATGTTCACAACCATTCAAGTAATGGTATACGGATAACTTAGCTGTTAAAGTGATTAACCATGTCTTTGAACTGCCAGGGACAAAGATGTGCCACTGCACAAGAAGCATATACTTCGCTAGCAGAGTTTTGAAAATGGTTCTTTGAAGTTGCAGTTGCCCAAAACATATACTCTCCCTTGAAACCTCTTAGTTTAAAAACATGAACTCAGAGACAAAAAAATACAAAGTCTTCTTTAAAAAGTAACCTATCTTGTTTACTCACAAACATCTTGTATTAACTCACCATACAGGCACATTATTAAAGTTCAGTTACAGATAGGATGTAGTTTCTCTGTGTTGTTGGATTATGGATTATTGATGATTCTTAATCAATAATCCATATTCCAAAGTCTTTAAGTATATATCTTATGAAAGTCTAAACTATATACCTGTACTCACTGCTTCTCAAAGCAAACATATAATACAAACAACAGCAAAATTACAACAGCAAAACAACATTCAGGGACATCTAATCACCTCTCAACAAAAGATTGCCCCAGGCACTGCCAGGCCATCAAATGCTAATCAAAATGGTCAGTTGAAACATTCACATGTAGCCCCAACAGACAAGAGTTCTTTGTCCCACCCTGGTCATTCCACAGATATATAAACCCTTTTTCCTGGTTCCAACAGACCTCACTACCTCTGAGGATGCTTGCCATAGATGCAGGCGAAACGTCAGGAGAGAATGACTCTAGAACATGACCATATAGCCCGAAAAAACCTACAACAACCCAAACATATAGTAAACTGTTCCTGCATAAGTAAAAAATACACCTGCTTTGATTGAAGTCCAAAAACATACTGAATCCAAAATAGAGTCCCGAGTCTGAACATGCTCAATACAATCACGTGTCTGTAGCTCCACTCACACCAAAGAGGTACAGTAAAACTGGCAAATCAATATAATACAGGTTAGCAAATATATACATTAACAAACAAATAGTGAAGGCTTGGAAGGTTGCTATTTCCAACATTAACACATGGATTTATTTTCCTGTTGTAAAGTTTTCTTATTTGTTTACTTTCTTGGCAAGATATAGTCAGAGGAGGTTTGCTTTGCCTTGCCCTAAGACTCCGAGAAAGCAATTTCCATGGGTAAACTGAGATCTGAACCCTTGTCTCTCAGTGTCCTGGACTTGTATTCAAACCATTACACAACCCTGGCTAAAAACCTATCCCAGTCATGTAATTTTTTTCAGAGAAGATAATCCATGAAAGTCTAGTAGTCAGTATCCTGTGGCAATCTCCAGCGTCCTACCACACTGGGTTTTTCCAACTATAATTTGTTGTGTCAAGTCTGCCTCAACTTAATGGTGATCTTCGAAATGAGAGATCACCAAGTTCTGCAAACTTGGGGCCCCCAACTGCCTTGGTGGCACCTATCCACATGTAATACAGTCTTCCTCTTTTCTTACTGCCTTCCACTTTACTAAGCTTATTGTCTTTTCAAATGAGTTCCTGTTGGCTCATGGTATAGCCAACATAAGTAATGTAGTCCTTTTGGCTTCTAGAGAGAGCTTAGTTTCAATCTCATCTGAGACCCATGTATTGGTCATTTTGGCAATACATACTATCTACTGGCCTTTATTTCAGCACCACATTTCAAATGTGGTAGATTCAGTGAATCAGTGGGAGTTTGATATGTCAACATTTATACTAAATTCACTTAATTAAGGTCATCGACCCTGTTGGTAATTAATAATCCACTTTGAATGAAAAGTGTAAATTAGTTTTTACATCTATGTATAGCTTTTATGTTCTTCAACTCTTCTTTACCTCCAGTCCACTAGCCCTAGCCACTCAGTAGGAGCCAATGTCCAACATGTGCTGCACCTCATGAAGCACCACTCGAAAATGCTTTGCAACGACCGTGTGGTCAGTGATGTCCCTTTGAGTGAGCAGACGAGCAAAGGCAGGAGATCATCCGTGTCGTCTACTTCATCCTCATCCCAGGGAGACCTGTCTGAGGTGCTGCTGACATTGCAAGACGAGCTAGGACAGATGAGTTTGTGAGTTGAAACTTTCCTGGAAATATTCTATTTATTTATCGTGCCAGATTCGAATTGAGGGTGCAGTTATAATGTATTTAAAAGAAGACAAACAAAGTTAAAACTTGGCTTTATGCTGGATTTCCTTTGACCAGAAGTTGGCCACTTGGAGTGCCTTTGAGAAGGTCCTCAATTGTGCACGTGGCGGGGCACAGACTGCATTGTAGTAGGTGATCTGTGGTTTGCTCTTCTCCACACTCGCATGTCATGGACTCCACTCTGTAGCCACATTTCTTAAGGTTGGCTCTACATCCTGTGGTGCCAGAGCGCAGCCTGTTCAGTGCCTTCCAGGTCGTCCACTCTTCTGTGTGCCCAGGAAGGAAGTTTCTCATCCGGTCTCAGTTACTGATTGAGGTCCTGGATTTTAGACTGCCACTTTTGGACTCTCACTTGCTGAGGTGTTCCTGCGAGTATCTCTGTAGATCTTTGATATCTGTGTCTTGATTTAAGGTGTTGGCATGCTGGCTGATATCCGAACAGAGGATTGTGATTTTGTAACTTCCCAATGGACGTCACATGGTGCAATACCGACTAAACAGTGTAATTTCTCCAGCAGTGTTGAGTGTAGACATCCTGTGATAATGCAGCATGTCTCATTAAGAGCCACATCCACTGTTTTAACATGGTGAGATGTATTCCACACTGGGCATGCGTATTCAACAGCAGAGTAGAATATTCTTCTAACAAGGGGGTTAATATAGTTTCTAAGAGGTCCGTCACTAGTGAAAAAGCCAAGTGGGTAGACAGGGCTTTATAATAGCTGCAGAAAGCTCCACAAGTGGAAATCTATCTCTGATGGTGTCCCTTGTGGTGGTTGGATTTGAATCTGTTCCTATCATACTTCTATTTATCCTGCATTCAAGGAAATACTACTTTTTAAAGCCCAGCCCTTGGAATCCTCTGGACATCATAGTGTCCTGAAAGAGTGACTTTCCTAACCTCTTTTCTCTACTACCGATATGATTCTGAAAATAAATAGGAACAGTTTTCATCTTGGGGGAATAATTTCGATCCCTATTTTCCGTTGTGCCTTAGCGATCACCAGCAGCTGGCAAAACTCATCCACGATGCTGTCTCCATTGACTTACGGGAAGACCTGGAGAGGGAGTTGGAAGTCCTGGTGAAAAAGATGGAGGCCAAGGCTGAACAGATCTCCAGAATCCAGAGGCATCAGACACGGGTGAACTGCCTTGTTGTCTCCATTCCAATATCTATGGGATAATGTTTTGGGATATTTTTCTCCAGCTGTTTGTTGAGCTGATGTAAAAAAAATAAAATAGCTTGCTACAGAAATGTCCAAACTGTAAGTAAACAGAAGTGGAGAGTTACATAGAGTGGCATATTACTTACTTACTTACTTACTTACTTACTTAGGTGATCTCTCGTTGTCCGAGTATGATAGTCTTCCAAGATCAGTGTACTAGTGGGCCCGTAGGTGACTGTGGAGCCCTATTCTTGATCTGCATCTTCTCTCACAGTGAGGGCATTGGTTTCCAGGTGGAAGGCGGTCTCGGTCAGGGTTGGCTTGACGTGCCTCCTCTTGGCATGTTTCTCTCTTTCGCCCTCCATTCATGCCTTTTCAAATTCTACAGCACTGCTGGTCACAGCTGACCTCCAGTTAGAGCACTCAAGGGCCAGGTCTTCCCAGTTCTCAGTGTCTATGCCAAAGTTTTTAAGGTTGGCTTTGAGCCCATCTTTAAATCTTTTTTCCTGCCCACCAACATTCAATTTTCCGTTCTTGAGTTCGGAGTAGAGCAATATAACCTCCAGTCATAGCCAACATTCAAGGAATTTGAGTATGTTTTCAATGCAAGTACAAAGCATGGCCTCTAGAAGCATAACCTTAAGTGACAGCAGTAACTATGACTCACTTAATCTTCTGTTGATAGCAAGGTTTGTGGTAAAAGAAAGAAGTACTCCTAAAAATAAATGTATGGAATGTAGTTACCTTTGTTTGGGGGGAAATGGCCGTACAATAGGCTAAGGAGAACGAATGAAAGCAGGAGGCATGAGTATTGTGAAGTGAGGTGAGGTGAGGTGAAAAGAGGCCACACTTAAATGCCTTTTCTCCCCATTTCCATCACAGCTGAAGAAACACAAAGAAGGGAAGGCCAAGCGGTATTGTGCCCAGGAGTCCCAGGCCAGTACAGACGGGAAGGTGACTCCTGCCCCTGTCAAGGTGAAATGCTCTGGGACCAAGAAGAGGCCTGGTGATCGGGGCAAGAGGAACCTGCAGTTGCTGAGGGACATGCAGAGCATACAGACCTCCCTTCAGAAAGATGACATCAGTTGGGACTACTGAGGCCTCTTAAAGTGTGTTTATTTTGGTTTTATTTGCACCTTGTTTGTTCTTCTCCCTGAGGCCTAGCTGGCTTCCCTGCTCGGTGAAACATGTACGCATTGCTGCACTTTCAAAATGAGAGCCTCTCATTTTCCATGTTTACACCTGGTTGCATTACGGCCCTAATCCTGAGAGATCGGAGAAAGGGGAACAAGACAATCCTGCTAGTATTTCAATATGCTACATTACATTCCTGTCTCTGACGACTTTGATTTTGAGCTTCCTCCTTGTCTTATAACTCTGCCTGAGATAGTAGACTCCATTTTTTCAACCTGGAGCCACTATTCTTCTCATGCTGGAGGTGAGGCAGGCCAGATCTTATTTCTACAGAGCTGAAAGTGGGACCACGCAACCCCTGGGTTCTCTAGAACAAGATTTTGCCCCAAATCACAACTCAGGCCAACACTTTTGGACCAAACAGTGGGACAAAAGGCATACCGTAAGCTGTGGGGGTTTTCATTTCTCTCCTTCAGCTCTTTTAGACATTTTGCATCTTCCATGGCCCTTTTTAATGCTTTTTTAAATAGACAATCTTTTTACACAAAAAGTATTTTTATGCAGTCAGTTGAGTGGTCTACTCTGCCTCTCTAACTTGAGAAAAAACTACCACTTTCCAATATGGAATTTTTGCAAAGGAGCAAGTAGATGATCAATTCCCTTGACATGAAGTAGCATGATCTTTTTCCAAAAACCAAAACACCTCCCACTTTTCATTGAGGAGGCTGTCTTCAGGGATTGATCCATGGAATCCAAATAATGTGGTTCCACAATGGAACTGAATTGCTTCTCGATTCTTTTTTTACCAGAGATTGTGAGGTCAGCTTATACCTTTTTTGAAAAATCATAATGCCATGGATCATGCTGTTCTTTTATGGGCAGCTTGTTTTTAACTTTCAAGTGTGCTTCACTGGACGAAGGTATTTGTGGGCTGCTGCAATACAGAATGACTAGTTGTCACACTTACACATGCAGATATTATTTATTACATTAATAATGGAACGGCTTTCCAATGATTGGAATGTACTGATGACTCAACATTGCCCGTGCTATTTGAGGCTTGATTGGAATCCAATAAAGGCAAATTGCTAAGTCACAGAATTAGATGGGAAGCATTGCTTTTGAATGTACTCTTAATAATCAAAAATGCATCTATTTAACAAATATTTCAAACTGTTTGTATCAGGGACTGGCATTTTACTTTAGTTTATGTGTAGTCTTTGCTACTGGTAGTGTGTGTTGCTGGACCCCAGTATGATCCTTGTATTATTTCCTACTAAAGCAGTAATTCCCAACCTGTGGTCCGTGGACCACCAGTGGTGCGCAAGAATGAAAATATGGTCTGTGGCCTCACCAATACTACATCGTTGCCTCGAAACCATGCAGCAATAAGAGCAACCCTCTTATAGTGCTGAGGCAAGGGAGATGTCAGGAAGGGACAAATCGACTACCTACAAAAGATTACTACTACCACATCTGCTCCAGATGATTAAATATCGTTTTCTCTGTGCGAGCAGATGGCGACTGCTGGATGATTGGTGTTTTGCTTCTAAAGTGTTGCTAAAGTTGTTGCTTTGCTTTTAAAGTGTTTCTTAAATTCTGGTGGTGATAATTTCAAAACTCTAACAAAACTTTCAAAATTTCATTATTATTTCGTTTATTGGCGATTTTAACGACAGAACCAATTAGGAACTGCCATTTATAACGAAATTTTGAAAGTTTTGTTAGAGTTCTGAAATTTTCACCACCAGAACTTTAGAAATACTTTAGAAGTAAAGCACCAGTGCCCCCTAGTTTTGTAGGTACTTTAGACTCATTTAGAACCATGGATTGCCCATGCCTACTGGATGGCATATGTTGTATATCAGAAACTAGAGCTGATTTGGTCTATCCAATGCAGTTTTCTCAATCGGCACCCCAAATAACCAAACCAGATCTAAAGTAGACCAAAAACTGTATTGTTGAAGGCTTTCATGGCTGGAATCACTGGGTTGTTGTAAGTTTTTTGGACTGTATGGCCATGTTCCAGAAGCATTGGCTCCTGATGTTTCACCTGCATCGATTTATTTATTTATTTACACTATTTATATACACCTTTTCTCAAGGCTGTTTAGAGTCGGCACAATTCAATGCCTTCAACATAACCTCTGAGGATACCTGCCATAGATGCAGGCGAAACGTCAGGAGAGAATGCTTCTGGAACATGGCCATACAGTCCAAAAAACTTACAACAACCCAGTGACCAAAAACTGATTTGTAACCCTTCTGGTACTAATGTTGGAGAATGGTCCCTGTTCAAGTGGTCCCTGGTCAAAAAAAGGTTGGGAACCGCTATGCTAAAGCAAATATGAGTTAGCAACTCCTCCGGCCCCCCTTTGCATAGAATCCTAGAGCTGGAAGAGATCACAATCCAACCCCATTCTGCCATGCAGGAAGACACAATCACAGCAGCCTCCTCCTTGATAGACAACTATACAGCCTCTGCTTAAAAACCTCCGGAGAAGGAGATTCCAGCAGACTCTGAGGTGGCCGAACAGCTCTTGCTGTCAGGAAGTTCTTCCTAATGCTTAGGTAGAATCTCTTTACCTGCAATTTGAATCCATTGCTCCATGTCCTAGCCTTCAGAGCAGCAGAAAACCAGCTTTCCCCCTCCCTGATATGAAATCCTTTAAAATATTTAAGCGTGGCAATGTCCACTCTCAGCCTTCTTTTCTCCAAGCTAAACATCCCCAGTCGTTCCTTGTAGAGCTTGGCTTCCAAACCTTTGATCATTTTGGACACATTCCCACTTGTCAATATTCTTCTTGAATAGTGGTGAACAGAAGTGGACACAGTGTTATTCCAGGTGATGTCTGACCAAAGCAGGATAGAGTGGGACTATGACTGACCTCGATCTCGACATTCTTGTTGATGCAGCCTAGAATCACATTGGCCTTCTGCATCACATTGTTGACTCATGTTCAACTTGTGGTCTACTAAGACTTCTAGGTCCTTTTTGTATGGACTGTTTTCAATCCAGGTGTCGCCCATCTTATATCTGTGCATTTGATTTGCATTTCCTAAGTCTAAAGCTATACCCTTTTTCCTGTTAATATTAATTTTGCTAGTTTTGGTCCAGCTCTCTAATCTATTATGGTCACTTTGGATTCTGATCCCTCCCAATTTGGTGTCATGCTTGTCCACTGACATACACACATCTCTTATTCCCATGCAGACAGATCTTTGAGGACTGCAGAAAGAACTGATAGAAGGAGGCGCACCTGCTTAGTCTTTTGTCATAATGCAGGCTTTGAGAATATGTGTCTTCAACGTGTTATTGGAAATTGTAAAGTCAACAAAGCCAATAGTGGTGGGTTCTGGGAACAACATTGGAAGAACCATGTTTTCTAGATGTACTTTAGATCTGTATCATAGAATCATTGAGTTGGAAGAGACCTCGAGGGCCATCCCGTTCAACCCTCTGCCAAGAAGCAGGAAAATCGCATTCAAAGCACTCCCAACAGATCCAGCCTGTTTAAAAGCCTCCTAAGAAGGAGCCTCTATCACACTCTGAGGCAGAGAGTTCCACTGCTGAACAGCTTTCATAGTTAGGAAGTTTGTCCTAATATTCAGGAGGAATCTCCTTTCCTGTAGTTTGAAGCCATCAGGTGCATCACTTGAACAGTAGCAACCTTAGTATGGTGCATCTTTAGTATCCACTGAGGTTTGGCTTCAGGACCCCCATGGTTACCAAAATCTGTGGATTCTCAAGTGCTGTTATTTGCAATCCTATAGTAAATGGTGTCCATTATGTGACACAACCAAATGAAAGATTGCTTCTTGTAATTTCCTTGCATGGAAAGGAGAGATTATCAAATACACATGTGGCGGAATCAGTGGATGCAGAATATGTGTAGATGGAGGAATGATTATATATCCTCACTAAATATGGATGTTGCCGTGGAAGCACAGTGTGTAATCAGATGTAGGAAAAGTCCTCCAATTGTTGGCATGTAGCTCACATGAATAGGTTAAATACCAACAAGCAAGAAAGTGACAAGTTTTGGTATTCGGTTTGTAATATCTCTTTCCTTGAGACAATACAGAGTCAATAATCATGTTAAAAAACAGTAACAGAAAAGCTATTATCCAGTGCAAGTTGCTGATACAGTCAAGGGGTCTTTTGATACATATTTGTCTATTATGCATAACAGAACAATTGTCCCATTTCATAATACATGTGTATGTCACTTTTTAAAAACGCCCTTACATTAAAAAAAAATAACCAAGTGGCAGAAAATTAGTACAATCATCTCTGCTGAGTCTTCCTGAGATGCTGTTTTGTTTTTGTTTGCTCACAGGAAGATGTTTTTCCCCCAGAAAGGAAAATTAACCAATTTCAATGCACCCTCTTCGCTGAAATGGGACAGTCTCACTTATACCGGATACAGTTACACGAATAGGCCTACATAAATCCGTAACAAAGCATATCATTCTGTATATCACCATCACAACTTCACAAAGGAATAACTGTGTGCATCGCTTACAAATAGTACAAACAAATGCTGCGGCTAACAAAAAAAGGGCATGTAATTACATTGCACTTCATAAAGCAAAATTGGTCCAATGCTCATCCTGAAAGTCTTCTGTCTTGAATGAGATGCGGTGGCATTTTGGTGTTAACAACAATCATCAGACAGAGAAGCAAACAGTAGTAAAAGGCTAAAGACTTTGGAGCAGGTTTTCTCAACCCACCATATATTTTGGACTTTTAACTTCAACTCTTAGCCACTGGGGCCGATGGGAATTGTGGTCCAAAGCATCTTGCTTGGACACAGAGTTAAGAGAAATCTAGGAGAACAGATGAGACACATTTCAGCCGAAGATGGGGCTTAACCTAAAATATGTGGCCATATTTTGGTCCAGCCCAGTTTCATTTCCCTTCCTCCCACTTTCCCCCGTTTTCCCCTACTTCCATCACCTGCTGGAAACAAAGTTCAAAGCGAAAAAGTAGTTTGTACTCAGTTTATAGGGTGAAAGGAGGCGAGAGGATTGAATCTCATTCTTCCCTGTAGACTAAGAAAAAAGCAAACTGTGTAGTCTCTTGTTTACAGTGCCTCACTAATAACTGTTGTCATCTTGACCACGATCCTATGTTATTTAACCACATAGGTGCCGGTTTTCCCCTTTGAAATATTAGAAAATATGTATGACTCCGGTTTAACGGCGATCACTACATTCTATGGGATTGTGGGGATTGTAGTTAGTTGAGGCACTGAAGCAACCGTACAGAGAATTCTTGCCACCCTTCTATAAACTATAAATCCCAGGATTGCAAAAAATAGAAGAAGGTCGGATCAAGTGGAATTATAGTGCTATAATTGTGTAGAGCAGTGTTTCTCAGCCTAGGGGTCAGGACCCTGGCAGGGTAGTGAGGGTGTGTTAGAGGGATGGCCAAAGACTCTGAAAACACCGTATTTTCTGTTGGTCATGTGTGGGAAGTTTGGTCCAATTCTATTGTTGGTGGGGTCCAGAATTTATAGGTGAACTATTAATCCCAGCAATTACAACTCCCAAATGTCAAGGTCTATTTTCCCCAAAATCCACCAGTGTTCACATTTGGGAATATTGAGTATTTCTGCCGAGTTTGGTCTAGATCTATCATTGTTTGTATCCACAGTTTTCTCTGGATGTAGGTGAACTACAACTCCAAAACTCAAGGTCAGTGCTCACCCTTCTAGTATTTTCTGTTGATCATGGGAGTTCTGTGTGCCAAATTTGGTTCAGTTCCATCATTGGTGGAGTTCAGAATGCTCTTTAATCCCAGCAAGTATAACTCCCAAATGTTAAGGTCTATTTTCCCCAAACTCTACCAGTGTTCACGTTTGGGAATATTGAGTATTCATCCTGAGTTTGGTCTAGATCTATTATTGTTTGCGTCCACAGTGCTTTCTGGATGGAGGTGAACTACAACTCCAAAACTCAAGGTCAATGCCCACCAAACCCTTCCAGTATTTTCTGTTGATCATGGGAGTTCAGTGTGCCAAATTTGGTTGAACGCCATCATTGGTGGAGTTCAGAATACTCTTTGATTGTAGGTTAACTATCAATCCCAGCAACTACAACTCCCAAATGACCAAATCAATCCCCCCTCCAATCCCACCAGTATTCAAATTTAGGCATATCGAGTATTTGTGCCAAATTTGGGCCAGTGAATGAAAATACATCCTGCATATAGATATTTACATTGCAATTCATTACAGTAGCAAAATTACAGTTATGAAGTTATCAACAAAAATAATGTTATGGTTAGGGATCACCACAACATGAGGAACTGTATTAAGGGGTTGAGGCATTAGGAAGGTTGAGAAACTGGTATAGAGTGAAAAGGCACCTGGTTTTTGAAAATCCTGTTCTATTTATCTAGAAGGTCAACTGTATACAAGTTCTATATATTTTCATTCAGTAATTCATTCAGTAATTTTCCATACAATAGTGCCTTCCCATCACTTCTGACACCTTTTAATCCCTGGATACAGAAAGTGTGGCTTCTGGATGTTGGATGTTTAGATCTGGCATGTCCATAAACACAAACAAATGACAAAACTTTGGGACACTTTAGACAATGTACCCTTTGAGACTGCAACTCCCATGCTGGATGAGGGAATCTGGGAGTTGTCATCCAAAAAGGGACCCTTACTAAACCCTGCACTGGACTTACAGGAATATAACGGATATTCCTCCCTCCCTCACCCCAAGACATAGTATACTCTTTTAAACCCATTGCTATAATACTGTAGATACTGTAGACACAATAGATATCAGGCTGCCGGAAAGCACAAGTACACTACTCACTATAACTTCACAGTGCCATTTTAACAGCATTCACCCAATCATCTTAAGCAAAAAAATATTAACAAAGCTAATGCCCATTACTGTGGTAGGAAAGACGGAAGCCGGGACTTTGGCCATATTCAATCATGTATCCCTTTTCTAAACATCGTGACTTCAGAAAAGACAATTAAAAGAAATTTTTTAGGAGCTGGAACTGTGTGGAATGGAACCCTTTACTTTTGACATCAGTTTCATTGAGACTGATGGGTAGTCTTTTTATATTTATTGACCTGGACGCTTCCAAGATGATTTTGGATTCCTGTTGGTCCCAGCCAGCAAGAACAATGGCCAGTAGACATGAGAACTGCACTTCTGGAAAGGCTGGACAACTGTCTTGTCTCAAAAACAACTGGCTTATTGTGAGTTTCCCGGGCTGCATGGCCACGTTCCAGAAGCATTCTATCGTGACATTTCGCCCACATCTATGGCAGGCATTCTCAGAGGTTGTGATGTCTGTTGGAAACCAAGCCAGTGAGGTTTATATAGCTCTGGAATGTCCAGGGTGGAAAAAAGAACTCTTGTCTGTTGGAGCTAGGTGTGAATGTTTCAACTGACCACCTTGATAAGCACTGAATGGCCTTGCAGCTTCAATGCCTGGCTGGTTGCTGCATGGGGGAATCTTGTTGGGAGGTGTTAACTGGTCCTGAAAAGGAGAGGTGGCTGTAAAAAGGGGGAAACCCTTTTTCCTATAAAAAGAATTTAAGTCTTGGTATGGCAATTGTTTCCTACTAAATCATATTAAATAATGCATTGCATTTTGCAATGGATCATGGCTAACAATGGCCATCCCCTATTTGCTGACATAGGCAGGCATGAAGTTGCGCTATGGAGGCAGAATGAATTTTCTCCTCAGGGTCAACAGTTGTATCCAGTTCACAGAAGCGGAAGCAGCGTTCTGCATGTAGAACTAATACCCATGTAGATGTCCATCTAAATTCACCAAATAGTATGCAAACACACCCTATTGCACAACATTGCTATCCAGTACAGGAGTTGTACAGTGAAAGCATAACATAACTCCCATATTGATGTGCTGAAGCTATATAGGAAACTTTGGCCATTATTTAAATACAAATTCTAGCAAAAAGTACTTGGATCTTTGCCAGCATAAAGTTCCAGCGTTTTTGAACAAGTCTCCCTTGTTCTGTTTTGAAATCTAAACAACAGACTGCTTTTCCCAACCCTAGAAAAAGTTTAATAATTTTCAACTGGCATCCGCCAACCAGGTGACCGTTGCCAGCTGTTGATGTTATCCCTCAAATCAGAAGTGAAAAGGTTTTCTAAGATCTGTACTAGATCCTTGTGACTGGACTCTCTCATCAAAGATGTGGGCAATGAACTTCTAACTTCAGAGTAGTCATCCTTCCACATTTGCAGTTTTGATTTTTGCAGATTTGATCCTTCACAGACTTGACTAAAATATTATCTCTAGGAATCTCAAAGTCCTCTAGTTCAGCGTTTCTCAACCTGGGTCGGGACCCCTGGGGGAGTTGCAAGGGGATGTCAGAGGGGTCGCCAAATTCAATATTTTCTGTTGGTCAGTGGGGTTCTGTGTGGGAAGTTTGACCCAATTCTATTATTGGTGGGATTCAGAGTGCTCTTTGATTGTAGATGAACTATAAATCCCAGCAATGACAACTCCCAAATATCAAGGCTATTTCCCCCAAACTCCACCAGTGTTTACATTTGGCCATATTGAGTATCCACGCCAAGTTTGGTCCAGATGCATCATTGTTTGAGTCCACAGTGCTCTCCAGATGTGGGTGAACTATGACTCCAAAAACTCAAGGCCAATGCCCACCAAACTCTTCCAGTATTTTCTGTTGGTCATGGGAGTTCTGTGTGCCAATTTTAGTTAAATTCCATCATTGGTGGAGTTCAGAATGCTCTTTGATTGTAGGTGAACTATAATTCCCAGCAACTACAACTCCCAAATGACAAAATCAACCCCCTCCCCAACCTCACCAGTATTCAAATTTGGGCGTATCGGATATTTGTGCCAAATTTGGTCCAGTGAATGAAAATACATCCTGCATATCAGATATTTACATTACGATTCATAACAGGAGCAAAATTACTGTTATGAAGTAGCAACAAAAATAATGTTATGGTTGGGGGTCACCAACCAGTAATGCTGAAAAACCTAGAGATTTTTTAAAGAATACGTCTTCAGATATCTCTGGGCCCTCCAATGTTTAGCCTCCAGCAGAAGTTGATGATAGAATCATGCTAGAAGACTTAGAAATTCCTAGACAGATGTTCTCACCGGTTATACAAAATAGGATTTTTTTGTGAGTTTTCCCCCCACTTTCATTGAGGTCCTAACCCCAGCAAATGTGGAAGGCTGACTGTCCTGCTCTTATAACATAAGCAAAGAGTTTGGGACACATTTTTTTCTTGTTACATTGATTGAAAAGCTATCAGCTGATGTTACCTGTTGTGGCATGATGAGAACTGGAGCGTAACAATAGCTGGAGGTTCACATGCTTCCTATATTTGCTTATGGGGGAAAATAAGAGGATAAACCAGGCATGGACAAACTTTGGCCCTCCAGATGTTTTGGACTTCGACTCCAACTGTTAGGAATTGTGGGAGTTGAAGTCCAAAATACCGGCTGTTAGGAATTATGGGAGTTGAAGTCCAAAACACCTATAGGGCTGAAGTTTGCCCATGCCTGGGATAAACCCTCTGTTCAACAACAGCCTCAATCCCAATGGTGTATAAACCAGAACCTTTCTCTTTTCTAGTCCAATGTTTTCCAAATCCTTCTGAGTGTTGACAAGCAGCATCTCCTTCACAAATGGTATAGGAAGAACCCAATGCCTTCCCCTCCTGCCATCCATTGCATTGGGTCTGAGGTTTGCATGCTTCCAGTTAATGGAGTACATTATGTTTTCCAATTTGGAACAGAAAAACAACTCAACTCAAATTCCATTTACGAATGTTCTGCTTGCAATTGCTTTCCTCGTAATTAGCCCTCAAGAAGGTTAATCATATAAGAAGCCTTTTAAAAAAAGAAAAGCAAAATGCTTTTTCCTGTAATGTTATGGCCCTAATAAAATATCCTGCAGAGATGGAGCATAATAAATAGAGCGTATGGACTCCAAAAATACCTGCTTTTTTAAGTGCAGAGGTTTTGCTTTTAAGGCTCCTTTTCTAGAAAAGCTGCCTCATGATGACGGTATAGTTCTGGAGAGGTTATTGCGTTATACAACAGTCTGGACCGGGGTAATACACTGAGCAGGGGAACTGGCCCTCTCCGAAGATGGAGTGGAGCGGTTGGTGATTTCTCGCTGGAGTTCGTCGACTTTCTTCTGAAGCTCTGCCCGTTTCACCAAGAGTTCCTTGTAACGGTTGTGCACTGGTTCCTAATGGGGACAGAAGAAGCTTTATGCTCAGTCTTGGGTCAGGAAGTCAATCATCAGTAACATAGTACTAAATTTAGAAGTGCAGGCACAACAAAAAAATTGAATATTTAAAAGGTTTGTTTTCGCCCTTTTCCTAAAACCTCATGAATGATGGGAATCATAGAGTTGGAAGAGACCTCATGGGCCATCCAGTCCAACCCTCTGCCAAGAAGCGGGAAAATCGCATTCAAATCACCCCTGACAGATGACCATCCAGCTTCTGTTTAAAAGCTTCCAAAGAAGGAGCCTCCACCACACTCCAGAGCAGAGAGTTCCACTGCTGAACAGCTCTCACAGTTAGGAAGTTCTTTCTAATGTTCAGATGGAATCTCCTTTCTTGTAGTTTGAAGCCATTGTTCCACGACCTAGTCTCCAAGGCAGCAGAATACAAGCTTGCTCCCTCCTCCCTATGACTCCCTCCCACATTTTTATGCATGGCTATCACGTCTTCTCTAAACCTTCTCTTCTTCAGGATAAACATGCCCAGCTCTTTAAGCTACTCCTCATAGGGCTTGTTCTCCAGACCCTTAATCATTTTAGTCACCCTCCTCTGAACGGCATGAATTAGAAGGGCATGCTCCACAGGACTCTGAATAACAGTATATGACTCATTCAGTTGATGTCATCACAAGGAGGCAAAAACAAAATAATTACCTTGGACTGAATAGGGAAGAATATAGCATTATGGAGAGGGGGGATTGGAAGTTCTCAAGGTGTTTTTTTTAAAGGGACATGTGTATGAGGGGATGAGAGGAAGGAAGTATAGAGTCACAAAAAGGGTCTGCCCACCCTTGCCATGTTGACGTTGTGAGAAAGGCCCTCTCAGAGCTGGAGAAGGGAGAAATTGGGAAGGGGCAGTGGCCCCTCTGACACTCAGTCAATGCCAAGTATAGGTAAAGGTAAAGGTTTCCCCCTAACATTAAGTCTACTCATATTTGACTCTGTGGGGTGGTGCTCATCTCCACTTCTAAGCTGAAGAGCCAGTGTTGTCCATAGATACCTCTAAAGTTATGTGGCCAGCATGACTGCATGCAGCGCTGTTGCCTTCCCGCTGGAGCGGCACCTATTGATGTACTCACATTTGCATGATTTCGAACTGCTTGGTGGGCAGAAGCTGGAACTAACAGCGGGAGCGACACTCAGGCAATGCCAAGTATAGGTAAAGGTAAAGGTAAAGGTTTTCCCCTGACATTAAGTCTACTCATATTTGACTCTGTGGGGTGGTGATCACCTCCACTTCTAAGCTGAAGAGCCAGTGTTGTCCATAGATACCTCTAAGGTTATGTGGTCAGCATGTCTGCATGCAGCGCTGTTGCCTTCCCGCTGGAGTGGTACCTATTGATCTACTCACATTTGCATGATTTCGAACTGCTTGGTGGGCAGAAGCTGGGCCTAGCAGCAGGAGCTCACTCTGCCCCCCAGATTCAAACTGCTGACTTTTTGGCCAGAAACTTTGGCAGTTTAACCTGCTGTGCCACTGGGGGCTCCAAAGCCAAGTATATATGCTAGTAAATAAATAAATACTTAATATTCCAATCCCAGGAGTCATTTTCAAAAGGACAATCCACACATTTGTTTGTTTGTTTGTTTACTATATTTATATACTGCCCCTCTCAGCCTGGAGGCGACTCAAGGCAGTTTAGGCAACTGTGTTAATCTACAATAACATTCGTAGAAGTTTTCATCTCTACCCAGAACAGGTACATTGTAAAGCTAATGGGCCTTGACTGTCCACTCAAGATCAAGCCACCTCCAAATATTTCACACTGCAACAGGAACAACTCACAATAGCACATAACTGCTGGGAAAAATCTTACCCCCCTCCCACCTTGGTCTCATGCCATAATGCTAATGAGATACGGATCTTGTTGAATGTAACTGCTACACCAATGAACATAGCAAAAGGAGGGGAAAGGCTATAATGTTTCTGTCCCATCCCACTCCCATTCCATGCACTCACCTGTGGCTTCATCCGAGGGTTCCAGCGAATGTAGTAACCCACCCAAAGCTCTAGATGTCGCATGCTAGCCACAGGATAGAGGACGTGGTTGGTATAGCTGACATAAAGAGGATTGGTGAAGTCTTCAAGCTGGCTGTTTATATAGGACCACAGGGACACTGTCTTTTTTGGAATGCCCTGGAAAGGAATAAGAGGAGTTGTTCTATACTTGAAGAATATCAGGAATGTAGAAGAGAACATTTACAACAACCCCTTAGTATAATGATTCCTATTCCTTGTTCCTAGAAAATATATATATACACACACATACCTATTTAACAATGGAAGTCTCTGAGTATATAAACCTCACTTGTCTAGTTTCCAACAGACCTCACCATCTCTGAGGATGCCTGCCATAGATGTGGGCAAAACGTCAGGAGAGAATGCTTCTGGAACATGGTCATACAGCCTAGAAAACTCACAGCAGCTCAGATACTTACATTGTTAAATAGGTATATAAACCTCACTTGCCTAGTTTCCAACAGACCTCACAATCTCTGAGAATGCCTGCCATAGATGTGGGCAAAATGTCAGGAGAGAATGCTTCTGGAACATGGCCATACAACCCAGAAAACTCACAGCAACTCATTGTAAGTATCTGAGTTGCTGTGAGTTGCCCACATCTATGGCAGGCATCCTCAGAGATGGTGAGGTCTGTTGGAAACTAGACAAGTGAGGTTTATATACCTGTGGAATGTCCAGGTCATGTTTAGCTAGGGGAAGAAAAGGTAGGGAGAGAACATGAGAACCATGTGTCAAGATTTAAAARGGTGTCCCATTGAGGAGAAGGGGGGAAACAGACTTTCTGCCTCTCAAGAGACCARGTCACAAAGGAGCAATGGGTCCAAATGGCAGAGAAAGAGATTCGACTGAAAAGATTAGGAAGAATTTCCTGAGAGTAAGAACCATTGGAGAATGGCATAGGCTGCCTTAGAGTGTGGTGGAGTTTCCTTCTCTGGAGGATTTCCCACAGAGTCAGTCTTATTAGGAGTGCTTTGATTGTGCCTTCCTGCATGGCAGGGGGTTGGACTGGATGGCCCTTGGGGGTCTCTTCCAGCTCTGGGATTCTAGGATACTATATCAGGAGTAGCCACTACAGGGTTTAATTGATACACTTTCTCTCTCCGATCCACCATCTAATCCTGACCAAGGCCAACCCTTTTGGAATCCAAACGTTTCCTGTCTTTCCTTAACTTTCTGCCTCCAAAAGAGAAGAGGAAGAGGAGGAAAGGATAGGGAGGGGGCTTGGCGAGAACGTCCTCCCTCTTGGCCTGCCCACCTGGCTCCGGCCCACCATGTGGCACCCAATTTAGAAAGTTTGCCCATGCCTGAGCTAGTGTGATTAGGTATGGCATGATTTCTGGAGGAAGGGGTATGATTTATATTCCTGATTTAAGTCTCCTGTGTTTTCTGTCTCAGAGTAGAGCTCACTTGATTCTGCACACTCCTTCACAAGGAAGGCATTTATATAACTTGCAATTCACTGAGATCAGAAAAGATCTCCCTATTTCATAGGCTGCTTTGGAGTGTGGTCGAGTCTCCTTCTCTGGAGACTTTTCTGCAAAGGCTATCTATCAGGAGTGTTTTGATTGTGCCTTCCTGCATGGCAGGGGGTTGGACTGGCTGGCCCTTGGTGGTCTCTTCCAGCTCTGGGATTCTAGGATACTATATCAGGAGTAGACACTACAGGGTTTAATGGATACACTTTCTCTCTCTGATCCACCATCTAATCCTGGCCAAGGCCAACCCTTTTGGGATCCAAACGTTTCCTGTCTTTCCTTCACTTTCTGCCTCCAAAAGAGAAGAGGAAGGGGAGGAAAGGGCAGGGAAGGGGCTTGGGAAAAACCCTCTCCCTCTTGGCCTGCCCACCCTGCTCCAGCCCACCATGTGGCACCCAATTTAGAAAGTTTGCCCATGCCTGAGCTAGTGTGATTAGGTATGGCATGATTTCTGGAGGAAGGGGTATGATTTATATTCCTGATTTAAGTCTCCTGTGTTTTCTGTCTCAGAGTAGAGCTCACTTGATTTTGCACACTCCTTCACAAGGAAGGGATTTATATAACTTGCAATTCACTGAGATCAGAAAAGATCTCCTCAATACATAGGCTGCTTTGGAGTGTGGTCGAGTCTCCTTCTCTGGAGACTCTTCTGCAAAGGCTGTCTATCGGGAGTGCTTTGATTGTGCCTTCCTGCATGGAAGGAGGTTGGACTGGCTGGCCCTTGGTGGTGTCTTTCCAGCTCTGGGATTCTAGGATACTATATCAGGAGTAGGCACTACCTTGTTTAACGGATACACTTTCTCTCTCCGATCCACCATCTAATCCTGACCAAGGCCAACCCTTTTGGCATCCAAATGTTTCCTGTCTTTCCTTCACTTTCTGCCTTCAAAAGAGAAGAGGAAGGGGAGGAAAGGGCAGGGAGGGCCTGTCCACCCTGCTCCGGCCCATCATGTGTGTCCCCAAGTTAGAAAGTTTGCCCATGCCTGAGCTAGTGTGATCAGGTATGGCATGATTTCTGGAGGAAGGGGTATGATTTATATTCCTGATTTAAGACTCCTGTGTTTTCTGTCTCAGAGGAGAGCTCACTTGATTCTGCACACTCCTTCGCAAGGAAGGCATTTTTGCAACTTGCAATTCACTGAGATTCAGAAAAGACCTCCCTAATTCACACAACTCAAACCCACTTCATTTCTCTTGTGCGCATAAAGGTTCAAATGGGCCCCTAAAGTTGGCACAGATTCAGAAGCAAAACATTTTTTCCTTTTTAAAAAAAAGCATCTGGGTTTTTACCTCTTTCACCCGCTGCTGCTCACTATTACATAGGAATGTCCCAAACAAACAGCTGTAGAGGTGGTCCAGAACGGTGATCAGAAAACACTCGTTGAATTCAAAGGCTGTGGGAAACTTCAAAAGGAAAGCAGTGCAATTTGCTTATTTTCACTGGACACTTCTCACTCAGTACATGAAAACATATTCCTGCAAAGCGTTTACACTGGAGGTCGGGGGAAACATTCATCTGGGAAGAAGGGGAGAAATGGACCATCCTGGTGATGAATCTGTTTGCATTTCTGTCTGGCAACCTTTCTTTTATGAAACCATATTATTGCTTTCCAAAGAGGAAAAATTGACTGTTTTACATATTTAGTAAAGTATGCTGGGTGACAGCCAAATACTACATGGAGAATGGGCCAAAACTTGGGAAAGTTACTTTTCTGAACCATAGCTCCAAGAATTCCACAGCAAGAATGACTACGTTGGCTGAGGAATTCTGGAAGTAGCAAAAGTAACTTTTCCAAGATCTGGAAAAGGCCAATGCACACACACACCCCCTCCCCCACCTAAAGTTTGTAGAAGGCTGTAACTCAGTTGTAGAGTACCTTTTTGTGCCAAGTAACACAGACATGTTTTTGATTATAGAAACAAAAAGCAGACACAAACCTGAAAAAGTTTTTTTAAAGTTAATGTACTCTGTTTTCTTACTACTCAACACTAGAAGGCCTCTGCAGCCTAAAATTGGGTATCTGGAGGGATAGTTTGTTTCTGATTGATGCAATCCTGTGTGTGTCTGCTCAGAACCCAATCCCATTGGTTTTGGTGAGACTTATTTCTAGAGACATGTAGACAGGATTATGAAGTTTTCGCACTACTGGTGATGCATACAAAAGTAACAGATTCAGGCTGCACCTACACTGCCGCAGAATCCAGATTATCAAAGTAGATAATAGATAATCTACATGATCTGCTTTGAACTGGATTATATACACTGCCATATAACCCAATTCAAAGCAGACAAACTGGATTTTATATGGCAGTCTAGAAGGGCCTCAGTCAAGAGAAGGGGCAAAGGAAACAGACATGGGGGCGGTTTCATGTTTCCAGCCCAGAGAATGTACCTGTCGTGTCATCTGCCACACGCAGTCAACAAACTGGAGAAAAACAGGGGACCGGTCTGCGTCTGCATGATTCTTATCCCCGTGGCCCACTCTCTGAAATAAAAGAAAAGAATAAGCAGCAACAGAAACAACAACAACAATAACAACAACAACACCATCAGAGCAAGTTTTTTTTTTCATTTTTTGCATGGCTGTGGTTGACAGGAGTTACAGTCTAAGACTGTGTCTATGCTTATTTGAGTAATCAGGGTTAATGAGTTCCAGAGCTGCCCTGATGCACCCTTGGAGCCCTTTGGTTGCTCCATATAGCTGGCCAGACTGAGGGCACACTGGGGTTACGTGACTGGGCAGTGTAGCATGATAACACCAGAAGCAACATTGCTGGCAAGCCGCTGGTTGGGAGCTGCTTGCTGCTGGTGATGTAGTGGTGGATTAGTTGGTAATGTGCACCATGAATTACACTCCCAGCTCACCTCCTGAGCTTGGGAATGCTGTGTAAAAGTTTACAAGGCAGCCTCATTTTGGGAGCTAAGTGTGTCACATGCATTTGCCTAAAGAAACCTAACACATGTGTCATGCAGGAAGACTGCACTGTCTTGGAGGATGTGGTCCTATTATATCAAGAAGATCATTTCTAGATGTCATCCACAAACCCAATCAACAATTGGGGCACACAGTTTACAGAAAACCTACACTCATGGATAGATACCTACATGAAAACTCCAACCATTACCCAAGTCAAAAAAGAAGCACAATTAAAGCCCTGGCAGACATGTAAAAAGAATCTGCACACCCCACTTTCTCCAAAGTGAACTGAACCACCTAAACTGGGCTCTACAGGCCAATGGAGACTCCACCAAAAGCATCAGGAGAGCTGCAAGGCCAAGAACAAGCCAGGAGAGTAAAGACAAAGATCAATCCAGAGGAAAAGTGTGCTTACCTTACATCAAGGGAACCACTGACCACACAGGGAAGCTGATGAGGAAACACAACCTACAAACTATCTACAGACCCATGAAAAAATCCAACAAATGTTACATTTAGCAAAGGACAAGAGGGATCCTCTCACCGTTGCAGAAGTCAACCGTATACCATGCAGCTGTGGACAAGTCTACATAGGGACCACCAAACGCAGCATTGCCCAAACATGAACCAAGGAACACGAAAGGCACTGCAGACTAATTCAACCAGAGAAGTCAGCCATAGCCTAGCACCTGATGAACCAACCTGGATGCAACATATTATTTGAGAACACCGAAATGCTGGACCACTCTAACAACTGCCATGTCAGACTACACGGAGAAGCCATTGAAATCCACAACCATGTGGACAATTTCAACAGAAAGGAGGAAACCATGAAAATAAACAAAATCTGGCTACCAATATTGAAAAAACTCTAAAATCAAAACACTGAATAAAGAACAACACTCAAGAACACGGGAATTCCAGACAATGCCTGACCAGAAGTCTTTCTGGTCCCTACCTTCTCTGTCAAAGGTCTTTTCCATTCCTAATCCTTTTACCTTCCAGTTCAGTATTTGTTTGTTTATTTATCTTAACGGACTGTCCCAATATAACATAGCTCCTTATGATCTTTAAAGAAATTAGCATTCATCTTTTAAAAGGATATTAAATACCAACCACTACATTACAGTTGTCAAAGAAAACAGTCTGAATTGTAGCAATCTCAACATGCATTTTGAATACACAGAAGTATGCTGGAAGAAGAAGAAGAACCATCAACCTTCAAATTTTAGGGTGGGAAGGGGAGCAAAAAGTATGATACATCCATATCAAAGAAAGAAGCTGCACATGCTGCTTTGTCATGAGAGTGTTCTTTATTCCAAAGAGCTATAAACACTTCCCCCAGTCACTGAAATATCTGGGCACAGCATTAAGCCTTCCAGCATGTGACTTAATGTGGTTGCATTACTCATGGCCCAAGCTTTCTTCAGCCGTTTCTCTCTATGCCAGGCATTTTAGAACTCTGCTTGTTCTTTTGCCAACAGAGTCTGAGCAGCTGCAAACAAACTTTGGCTGTCTATTTTCACAAAGCTAAGAAAAATAGTATTATTATTGTATTATAGCATGGCTATCTCAGTTATTCAAGTGGACAATTTCAGATTTGGAGTATTGTAGATTTGGGAATTCTAGATAAAAGAGATGCTTAACTTGTATTGGTATTCAATGAAAGGGCATTTTAGTGCAATCACTAGGTACCATGTAGATTTACATAAGATAAGCACAATGTACACGGGTTGAATGAAAAGTAATGCCTTCACCTTCATTACTTGGGTTTGGATGGGAATATTTTAATAAATCAAACCCTTAGAAAGTGCTCTTTAACTACAACTATTCACTTTTCCAGATAATGACCAGACAATTTGATACATTTCTGCCAACGATGAACAAGTTTTCTGAAGCCGTCACGGAAGAAGTTGACATTCTGTTTCCGCAACCCATTGTACACAGATCCTCCGATAGCCAAGCAAAGCAATAATCTGACCCACACATTCTTGTGAAATGCTGATTAGGCTTGAAATTTCTGATGATCATCCTGAATCAATCTGTCAGCCTTTTGCTTGTGAAACTAGGTGGTTTCTATCACAGGACGTCCAACTCTTTGTTTGTCACACAAGTCAGATGTTCCCACCTCAACATCTTTAAACTTACTCACCTAATGATGCACAGTACTCACATCAACACAATCACCATAAACAGCTTGCATTCTCTGATTAATCTCCTTTGGAGTGACACCTTCTGCTGTCAAGAATTCAATGACTGCACGTTGCTTAAGTCGCATTGACCGACTGTCTGCGCAGGGTTCTATACTTCACACTTTAACAACACAACTGTTCCATGCTAAGGCTTCCCGCCAAAATAGAACTGTAGAGGAGAGTCTACTGAACAAGCCAGTACCTGCTGCATACCAGTACTGCCATCTGTTGAGTAGTAACGGAGGTGGGGGCGTTACTTTTCATTCAACCCTCGTAGAATCTTGGCCTTGATATTCCCCCTAATATTCTTTCTCAGGAGGTGAAAAGTTTTTTCGTTGTTACTCTTGTTAGTAATGGAGGCCTTGCTAATCTCCAGCCAATTATTCAAATGCCATCAAGTTCTCTCTTAAATTATTTAAGAGCAATGCCTACAATGGTGCTTGTGTTCATCACTCCAAAGGTCACCAACTCACCAGTTGAAACCTGTGCCCAAAGCTCAGCCATTCCTTCTCCACCAACACCTCGAAGCCTTGGATCGTCCGGTAGTAGCCGTCTAACATGAGCATGGCAAGAGAGGTGAGCTGGCCGGTCCGATCCCAGCCGTCGCTGCAATGCACCACCACAGAGGTCTTCCCTGATTCCACCTTGTCGGCTATCCGGAGAGCACCAGCAAGAATCAGCTGGGTTAAAAGGGGCATTCTGTGATTGTAATATTCATTATGAACAGGGAATGACTTCAAGGAAGACTATGGAACGGCCCATCTGCTTTACAACCACAATTGATTTCTATCTATTACAAGCAATCCTACCCCCTAAAGAAATTAGGTTAGCCCCCTCTTTTCAGGCCTTCCGGGTGAGTCTAAAGTATGTCTCTTCAGACAGACCTTTGACCCTAAGTAATCCATGGCCAACATGATGAATCATTGATAGTGCTGACCCGCATTTGATTGATTGTTATGACAGATAGCTGGTCGGCAGGTTCCACTGTGTTTTATGAATTTTATAATTTTCATATTTTTATAATTTTATCGGTGAGATTTTCATGTGCTATTGATTATACTTATGTCATTGTATTTATACTTATGTATTGTTGTCTGCATGTGGCACTTGGGGTGCTTCTGTCAGCCACCCCAAATCCCTTTGGGGAGATAGTGGTGGGGTAAAAATAAAGATTTATTATTTATTATTATACTGACGATGAAAGTTTTTACCAGGATGGAATAAGTACTGGAGCTGCTGAAACCATACTAATAAAGTCTGATTAAAAAATCATTTCTGAAGACTAAGGAAGGAGCCTTATTGGTGTCTGCTCCCAGACCATGAAACTATCTTCTAAGATAGGCTCAGTTCGCCACTTCTCTGCTCTCTTTTTGCTGAAAGGAAAAAAAATCATCTTATTTAAACTAGCTTTTGGCTGGTTCAGCAGTGCAATGTGTATGCTATCTCTTAACATATTCTAAATCAATATTTTTAAGTTGATAATTGTAATAATAATATTACAATGTAATATTTTTTTTCTTTTTTAAAATTCCACTACAGATTATTTTAGCTTTAGGGATTAGGCATGCAGGACCCATGCAAAAGTGGAAAGAACATGAATAAAAAAACCCACCTTTTTTAATCTGAGAGAACACATCTCTAGCAATATTTAAATCCTCCAGAATTGCACTGGAAGATTTAAAGATTCCTAAGGAGCTGTGGTGGTGCAGTGGGTTAAACCACTAAGCTGCAGGGGTTGCTGACTGGAAGGTCTGTGGTTCAAATCCCCAGGATGGGGTGAGCTCCCATTGTTAGCCCCAGCTTCTGCCAAACTAGCAGTTCGAAAACATGCAAATGTGAGATCAATGGGTACCACCTCGGCGGGAAGGTAACAACACTCCATGTAGTCATGCCAGCTACATGACCAGTGTCTATGGACAATGCCACATGACCAGAATCTATGGACAATGTTGACTCTTCAGCTTAGAAATGGAGATGAGCAGCACTCCCCAGAGTCAGACTCAACTAGACTTAATGTCAAGGGGAAATCTTTACCTTTATTTTAGAGAGGTGCTCCTGCTAATAATAATAATAATAATAATAATAATTATTATTATTATTACTATTATTACCCACCTCTTCTTATGGCTCGAGGTGGGTTACAGCATAATTAAAACACAAACATTGAAAACATTCTATAAATATACATATTCATGTATTTCTATAAAATACATATTAAAATATACAGGACAGAGATTAAATACTAGGAATCACTAGATCCTCAAGCAGCTATGGTCAATGTCCATTGAAGCTGACCATAGTGTCTTGCTGGAGATTCTAGAGATAGCATACAATTCAAATCCACAAATAATCAAAACAACAAAAACCAAACCCGCAAATGTGTAAAGTCAACTTCATCATTTATACTGGGTCCCATATGAGTTTTGAGTCAGGAGTGACTTGAGAAACTGCAAGTCGCTTCTGGTGTGAGAGAATTAGTCGTCTGCAAGGATGTTGTCCAGGGGATGCCTGGATGTTTTACCATCCAGGGTACAAATAAATAAATGAACCACAAAGGATGACCACATGCACTCACCCCTCAACATACCTTGATATGTTCTAGCCAGTGCGTTGACTCCAAATTAGACAGCCAGTGAGTCTCTTCTATGTTGGGATATACAATCTCCTTAAGTTTCCTCAATGACTCCCTCATGACGTGAATATTATGGATGTCCAGAAAGACCAACTCTATATTCTGATAGGCATCCTCACTTTCATAACCTCCTCCTTTAGCCTGCAAGGAAAGATGCACTTTAGACTGTCTCTCCCTAGGAAAGATACTACTACCCACCCATCCTGTATTGAGTATTAGGATTTTTTTGAGTACTGATTAGATTTGTCAGCATTATTGAGTTTCTAGCACAGGACTGGACAATTTTGGGATGGGAAGGAGCTGCATTAGCATCCCTTTAGAACTTAAACAGGTCTTTCTGGGATCTAAAAAGGTCCAAGGGGAGGGCAATATCTGGCCAAATTGCCCCCCCCCCCCACTTATCCTGGATAGTATTATGGAGGAAGGAAAACCAACTGTTACGGAAAACATTTTACAAAAAATACATTTTGACCCCTCGGGTTAAAACATGGCTTTGGGACCAAGCTTTTGGAGAATGACTGCAGTGCAGTAAATGAACATAGAATCTATGCAATGACATTCAGAATGGCCCTGGATTACGATTTTGGATTATGTGATTTTAATAACTGATGCAATTGTTTTTAGATGTTTTAACTCTGGTTTTTAATGCAGATGTTATTTTAAGGCATTGAATTGTTGCCGATATGTGAGGCTGCTCTCAGTCCCCCTTGGGGTTGAGAAGGGTGAGATACAAATATGGTAAATAAATAAATAAATAAACAAATAACCCGACCTTGTTAGCAACCGCATTTACACTTGGCCTGGCATCAAATATGAATATCTTGTGGGACTGGGCGTTGGAGTCCATGATAGACTGCAAATACTTCTCATCTTCTTTGCTCCGTTTGCCGCTCACTCCAACCATGGGCTGGCTGCAGCGAGTGATGGTGGCTTGGCTCTCCGGATGAATCCAGGACAAGACCTTGCAGAAAAAATAGAAATTGGACACAAAACAAAAGGGCAATGAAGTAGACGAGTAAATTTCAGTGGTAACTTATGTGTTCCGTGTCAATGGAGGGATATATCCACTCTGGGTTAATAGACTGAACTTTAAAGTCTTGCCAGCTCCCTTAAAGATGAGTCCTCAACAGTGGACTCTTGTTATCTGCTGGGGTTTGGTTCCAGGACCCGATTACATACTAAGACTCATGGATGCTCAATTCTCATTATACACAGTGTCGTAGTAAAATGGAAACCTTCATATAAAATGGCAAAATTGTTCCCTTTTGAAAAAAAAAGTCAAAATATCTTCATGCCATGGATGATTGAATTTACGAGAGGAATTTTTAAAGTAAGGTCCGTTTTGTTGTAGACACTAGTAGTTCATGCGCATACCGCAGCGAGCGCGTGTGTCGTGTACTGGCATGCCTTGGGAACAACTGTGCTCAGTTTCCGCTCTGTAGCTAACCTGTACGGTTCTGTTCTGTGCTTTAAAAATGTTTAAGACTATCAACTCACCTGCCGCATGTGAGGTTCGCTCAGTGATACGGTTTTTGTCAGCAAGGAACCTGCCTGCTGCAGAAATTCATCGACAGATTTGTGAAGTGTACGGTGATACTGTTATGAGTGAAAGCAAAGTGTGTAAGTGGGTACGACAATTCAAAGATGGCCGTGACAACGTCCATGATGAAGACTGATGAAGGAGCAGGCGGCAAGTTTTTATGAAGAGGGTATTTTAAAATTGGTTCAGAGGTATGATAAGTGTTTGAACAAACTTGGCAACTATGTTGAAAAATAGAGTGAAGTATGTACTTTCTGAAAATAAATTTACTTTTTTGAAATAAACTTTCGTTGTGTACTTATGTTCAAACGGACCTTACGTAAAAAATACCCCTCGTATATAGAGAAAATCTGTGGGTATTGAAGGCAGACTTATTTTGTTGTTGTTGTTGTTTCCCTCCAAAGACAACATTTCTCACTCTCTACAGCAGTGGTTCTCAAGCTGTGGGTTCCCAGATCTTTTGGCTTTTAACTCCCAGAAATCCTAACAGCTGGTAAACTGGCTGAGATTTCTGGGAGTTGTAGGCCAAAACACCTGGGGACCCACAGGTTGAGAACCACTGCTCTACAGGAAGATAATAAAAGAATTTCTACCTTTCCAGTACAAGATTTCCCTGCAACGTACATGGCTTTCTTGCTTTCTCTTTGGCCTTCCTCATTTTAAGACATGAATAAACTCAACTCAAAGTCATCTCGCTCTGCCATACTTACTGGTATGCGCCCCCTAGTTCGGAAAGCAGCCACTCTCTTCAATTCCTCATCTGGAATATTGGCAGGAACTACAAGAAAGGCAGGGTAGGTATCGCAAAGCTCATACTGCTCATTGACCTTGGTCATTCTCCAACTTTCATTAGGAATGCCCTGCATTGGAAGGAATGCAGCTGGTTAGAAATTTACTCCTAGACAGGAGGTTAAGAGCAATAATTACTTTGTTTTTAAATAGTATAGATTTATATATTTTAATATATACTTGTTATTAATACATACACACAATAAAAATGCTTAGCACATAACACAATTACGATGTAGCAAATTAAATGCACATTTGTACTTTTATTTCATCTAAATTCCACACACATCTCTGTCTACCTCTCTCTACTAAATAATGCTACCCAACTTAATATACAGACCTATTAAAAGTTGACTTGCAGCATCCTTACCAAAGACATAATGAGTACAATGAGCCATCCACATCTGCAGCTTTAACTTTTGCGGATTTGGTTAGTCACAGATTTTGTTACTATTTCCTCTTTAGTGGCTCATGACTAAAACTTCCAGAAATCCTAGCCAGTTTACTAGCTGTTAGGATTTCTGGGAATTGAAGGCCAAAACATCTGGGACCCACAGGTTGAGAACCACTGCTCTAGAATCTATAGCTTAACCCTATGGTCAACTTCTGGTCATGTTGAAGGACCTAGAATTCCCAGAGAGAACATTTCTCTAAGCATTTGTAGGTCCTGGCAGATGATGATCATAGAGTAGTGATAGTGGGCCAACAGATTCATAGGGAGGTGTTTTCTTCATTTTTAAAAATTTGTATTTCCCCTACTTTCTTGAGGCCTGCACCCTTAATCTGGAGGGCCCACCTTATAGACATGTGGACTTCCTCATTACCCTAGTTATTTGGTATATATTGGTGACCATGAATAAAAGTTACTCTAATTAAGCCTGATCAATCTCACTGGAAAAATAGCAAAGTGCTCTTCTATACAGGCACTAAAATCATTTCAAGACAGCTCAAGGTTGAGGTGTTTACAAAATGTAGACATCCAATGTGAGCTGCAATATGCATCCAGAGGAAAACAGCGTGTTTTAAAAACCTCACTGGAAGTTCTGAATCAAGCCACAGAATTCAGTGAAGCTGATCAGTGTATATACGATGCAGAGCAGGAATTCAGAAGCAAACTGCAGAGCACTTGTGTGAACAGGGTTAATGCTGAAGCATTCAGAGAAAGAACCCAGTTGAAACGTAAGCCAGCACATTTCCTTGGAAAGGAAACTGCAGCATGGGAATCCTCTCTTTCCCTTTCTTGCTTTCCCCACAGTTGGGCTAGCACTGATTCTCATCAGTCAGGCTGCTTCTTTTTAGCATATCCTGCCAGAGGAGGTAGGAACAAAAATATTCCTTGGATCAGATTGATCTGCAATCAGAGGATCTTTGTGGCCATCACCCCAGCTTTCATCCATTTTGTGAGGTGCCTGTGTAGGCACTCCATATCAAACCATTTCTCTTTCATCTATGTCCTGACCAGATAAAATTGTGTTGAAGCAGCCAAAGACAAACCAAATTAATTCTATAACTTAGAGTAACTGTAATTTTCTTCAGATGTTTGGGAATTGTGTTTAAATTGTGACCGTATTGTGTCTAAATTGGGAATTGTGTCTAAACTGTGACCGTATCTCTCTCCATGAACCAACCCGGGCCCTTCGATCTTTGGAGGAGATTCTCCTTTCGCCCCTACCAGTTGCACAAGCTCATCTTGTGGGCACAAGGGAGAGAGCCTTCTCCTCTGTGGCTCCCCGACTCTGGAACTCATTACCTGGAGAGATCAGGAAAGCCCCTACCCTAAAAACCTTTAAAAAGAACCTTAAAACCTGGCTCTTCTGCTGTGCCTTTGGTGAGTAGGTGCACAACATGACACTATTGCTCCCCTCAATGCTTATCTCACTGGAGTACATGCTCCTCTAATGAGAAAGTTTGGTTCCACAACCCTGTGTTTTTTTATGAGCTCCCTCTTGCAAATAACTTGCTCCTCTTCTTATCTCATTTGTGTTTTTTAACATTTTATCCTGCACATGTGGCCAGCCCACTTTCACTGTGATTGTGTTTATTGTAATGTTATATCGTTATTGCATTCATATGTTTTTTTGTAATTATGATGCTGTTGCTTGTTGCTTTTGTTTCTGGTTTTATTTTGCTGTAATATGTTGTCTGTGCTTGGCCTCATGTAAGCCGCCCCGAGTCCCCATTGGAGAGATGGTGGCAGGGTATAAATAAAGATTGTTGTTGTTGTTGTTGTTGTTGTTATTATTATTATTAAAGCCCAGAATGGATTTGCTACCACATTGAAACAAAATCACAAGCCACCAGAGGTTATAGAGTGATAGTGACCAATTTTTATGAGGTTGCTACAGGTCATTTATAAAGTTACATTCCTCCAACACTTGCTACTATAACTATTCGAGTTTTTGGTTTGTTTGACTGTTCAGTTTGTAAGCCAGGATCATCAGGTTTGCATGGCAGAAAGGATCACAGGCCTAGTGATAGTTAAGCTAACAGGATCCGTGACTCTCTCCTGTCCACAAATGTACACATTGATAATATCTCTCATGCTAAAGATTTCACATTTGCCTTCTGGAATATTGATCACCATCATAAACTGGCCTAACAGATATGCAGAGAAAGTGTGTTGAATTGACTTAAAGAGCATACACTTCTGAACTCTGAAAAAAGGATCTGAGATTATTAGATAGGATCCATGATTGGAAAGAATAAAGTATGCTACAGAGAGACAAGTGCAAATGGAAACGGATAGAAGCTCTTACCTGTCTCCTGTACTCCAAAACGGGATCATAAACCTTCCAGCCATTTTCTGGGAAAACCTCTTTGTATTCAAATGCAAAAAGAGACTTTAAAACAAAAGAGAGGGAAGAGACCATTCAACTCTTTTCAACTGAGTTTCCATTTTATCTGGCACCTCAAATAACAATTTTCATGTAGTCTTTTTGTTTCTATAACACTGGAGCATGAAAGAAACGCAGAGCATTTCAGAAATCTGTCTTTGTACATTGTAATTAACACATCAATGTATGTGTCCCTGTCTTCCTTTGTTCTCGGATCTGTTACCTACAAGATCCCAACGGGAATAGAGTTGAGGGTGCCGCTTGGAGACAGAATAATATGGAAAGGATTCTAGTACAACAGCGTAAATATAGAAGATGTATTAGAAACAAATATCATAGAGACATTACTCTTTTGAGGATATAGGTTCACACTGATGCACCTGCATCATTTGTCACTTCCAAAAAGCCATAACATGCTTGATGTCTGAATTTTGGATAGATCCTCCAGCCCTGTTTAGCTATGTAGAACTTACACTTAAGGTTTGGTCAGCACTAGTCAAAGCCTGTATATACTCATGTATCAGTCGACCGTGTGTATAAGACAAGGGCATAGCCTTGGGATGAAAATTATCGTTTTTATATGACCAGTGGATAAGCTGAGGAGAGTGGAAATCAACCAAGTTGTCTCAGAGGGCCAGCCTTCCTATTCACTGCTATCCTTGCCTCACCCAAGCATTCAAACAAGCCAGAAGCAGCACCACAGCTTCTTTTAGGTCTTCCAGGATGGACTAAGCCAGGCCTGGGCAAACTTCGGCCCTCCAAATGTTTTGGACTAATTCCACAATTCCTAACAGTAGGCTGTTAGGGATGGTGGGAGTTGAAGTCCAAAACACCTGGAGGGCCGAAGTTTGCCTAGGCCTGCACTAAGCTCTTGCCTTTCATCAATCTGGGGATATTTCCTTTTTTATTAGAGGAGCCCCTGTGGTACAATGAGTTAAACCCTTGTGCTGGTAGGACCAAAGACCGACAGGTTGGAGGTTCAAATCCAGGGACAGCATGGATGAGCTCCCTCTGTCATCTCCAGCTCCCCATGTGGGGACATGAGAGAAGCCTCCGGACGTCCCCTGTGCAACGTCCTTGCAGACGGCCAATTTTCTCACACCAGAAGTGACTTGCAGTTTCTCAAATCACTCCTGACATGAAAAAATAGAGTTAAGATGCAGCATTCACATTGACCCGGAGATATGTTGACCAGGTGACTTTTTGACGAAAATATCTAAACTTATGCAAGAGTATATAGGGTACTTCCAGTTCATATCCTGTGTTTTAAGCTTTGACCCAGCTTCGCCCCATTTTGGCCAAGTTGTGGGACACAGTTTCCAGAAAGCTCTGGAGTATCCCACATCTTTGAGACAGTTGGTACAGCTGTATCAGGACCAGTTCATTATCCAGACGGGGTATCTGCATGATCAGCTTTTTCCTGCAAATGCACAGGAAAAGGGGTTGGGTCATGCCCATATTACCCCTACTGCCACTGCTAGCTGGCCACAGAACTCAATTTTGTTGTTGGCTGGTTTTAATAATAATAATAATATAATTATTATTATTTAATAATATAATTAAATTTGATTAATTATTTAAAAGTTTAACAAATTATTTTAAAAATACCTCAGTGTTTAAAATTTGTGAGTTATTTTTTTAAATAGTTCAACATTAATGCATTGATTATAACACTAACATTTCTGAACTCTAGCTGTCGGCAAAGTATACCCTGTTTTTTCCATTGAAGCAAGAGCAGAAAATCTACATGAGTTGTTGGGGCTGTTTGCTCTAGCACAGATGCTGTTCTTCACCCCTTCTTAAATATGATCTTGTCAGAGGAAAGGCTGACCTAATATTCATGTGATAAAGCATTGACCGAAAGGTCACAGGTTCGAATCCAGGGAGCTGCATGAGCTCCCGCTATTAGCCTCAGCTTCTGCCAACCTAGCAGTTTGAAAACATGCAAATGTGAGTAGATCAATAGGTACTGCTTCAGCGGCAAGTTAACGGCGCTATATGCAGTCATGCTGGCTACATGACCTTGTAGGTGTCTACGAACAATGAGTTAAACCCAGCACAAGGTTTTAACTCATTCTAAGCTCTTTGGCTTAGAAATGGAGATGAGCATCAGGCTCCAGAGTCAGACATGACTGGACTTAATGTCAGGGAAAAACCTACCTTTTACCAACCCTAAAGCATTCAGATCTTCCATTCCTCCTCAACCTGCTTTCTCTAAGTGCCTATATAAATGCTTATAGAATACAGCTCTCTAGCATTTCTAGGTTCTCCTGTAAAACGCCATCTGACCTTCTGGTAGAAATGTATTATGGAATTGCACTGGAGACCTAGATAACGATAGAGAAAACCTCTCTCTCATGACTTGGCCCTCTTGCGTAACTGTGATTACATTTGGGTGGAAGCATACTATAGAATTGTACTAGAAGACCTATAATTTCTTGGCACTCTAGCATAGTTTTACAGTCCATTTTGGGTGGAAGCATACCATAGAATGGCACTGGAGGACATTAAAAAGCCGAGACATAACCGATAGACACTTGAATGTTCTGACTGTGAACTCTAACATGATGGGGTCATGGCAATTACTATTGCTGTGTGTTGTAGACATCCTTATCAAGACTAACTTTGAGTTTAAATGCTGTTACTATCACTTGGCTTTCATCCTACAACAAAAAAAAATCTATAACTTGCATCACTATGTAATATTAAGAATACAAAAAGGACTTACTAAATGGTTTGACACTGGAAATGCATATTTTGTCAAGTTCTCAAATATGGCTCTTCTTGTGCGCCCCTCCGGCCTGTGTGCAAAACGTAGGTTCCGGACATCCTGCAAAACATTGGGTAAAACTCAGACCTGCCATAAAATTGGCATAACATAATCCTGATTTATCTGCCAAGGGAATGTTGCCCATCTGCCATGAATAATTATATTAATATTTGACTATTTCATCCTGGCATAGTAAGGACAAATACTACCCACGGTTTTCTCCTCATATCCCCAAAATGTTTCAGGAAATTACTCTGTGCAAAAATACATGTCAATTTTTTGCATGAAAATTCATGGGTTTTGTCCAAAGCACACTCAACATGATGACTGCATTTACTGTTCCATTACAATGGAAGAGACTATTCATCACTCCTGCCTCTTGTAATTCTAGTTTGAGTTCTATTGTCTAGCCAATGAAGAAGAATTTAAATATATCAATTAATTTTAGTACAATATGACCCCAGTATAATAGCAAACCCTATTGAAATGAATAACTTCATACCATAGAATCACCCTGGAACACCTAGAAAATACATAAAGTGGCATCCTCTGTAGGAATTTTCTAGCTCTACCTGAGTAACTGTATGGTAACTTCCAGCAGAATCACCTGCAGGACCTGGAAAAGTACTAGAGAGAACTTTTTTCAGGTGTGAGTAGGGGAAACATGGGATCATAATTTAGACCACCACTGCAGATCATACTTGCAACATTATTTCACCAAGTTTGGGCCACTTTACCTTGCACACAATCTCCAAACCATATGAATTTTCCCCACGGCTAGATGCTCCTCCAATTTTCTCAACTCTGTTGATAACTCCTAGGGGTGCGTCGAGAACAAAAGGAGGGTCCTAGAGAAAAATGTAGTTTATTGATGAAAACTCTAAAAGAAAGAGTAGTACTACTACTGCATTGTACAGAACTTGGCATAGCCAAGAACGCAAGACTTTAGACAAGGTTAATTATACAATAGACAGCAAAGAAACAATGCTGTACCAAGACTTGTCATTGATTAATCTATACCAGTGTATGCACTCTGGGAGTGACTCTTCAGCATCTCAGGGACACAACTTTGTGAATTAGAATCTCCCAGCTAAGTGAGAGATTTGGGAGTTGTAGTCCAGTAAACAACCTTTCCAAGCTCCTCTGAAGCATAGGTCCTTCCCCATAATTGCTCCCGGCAATCCTTTTACTTGGAGTAACTTGAATCTTGGTCCTTCTGAATGTGCTCTGAGCTATGGGTCCCTCCCCAACAGGAACTTGAAACAATAGGTAAGAAAAAGAGCTTGCATGGTTTCAGTGATTTAATAGGGCCATATCTACATGGGCCAAATAAAATGAACCCACCCTGATTGCACTACAAGCAGTCCACATGATGCATGGGTGGTTCTGCAGGAGAAGTGCTTCTCCCAGGTGTTAATCCAGCGCACAGAAAATCGCAAGTTACTTCAAAGTGATCCAAGTCTTTTTGACATGTGGACAATTGAATCTGGAGTGATCCAATATCCACAAGTCAAAAAGACCCACTTCTGTTGCTCTGGCCTGAAGCAATTCCAAGCAGCTCCCCAGCAGAGCCTTGCTGGCAATGTTGCTTTATTAGGCACCCTATTGTGTTCCTACCAGAAGCAATGTTGCCAGCAAAGGGTTCCATTGGGGAGCTGCTTCTGGCTAGCAAAACTATAGCACGCCACTCAGGAGGACAAGGCATAAGAGTTGACTTATGGCTGGCTATTTGTTGTGGGTGGCCATTTGAATTCTGAAAGGGTTTTAGGGTGCTCCCATGCTGTCTCAGAGGGAGCTCCGGAGCAAAGTACTTGGAGTATTTTGGCTGGTGTAGACACAGTCTAAGACCTCATCTACACAGGCACTAACATCCAGCTTGAAAATGGTTTGAGGTTTGGTGTACAGAAAATGTTTTTTCCCAATCCAAGTTGCACCCAGCCAGAAACCGTGTGATAAAAAACCTCACCAGAAATCCTGAATCCAATCATAAAATTCAATGCATCTCTCCTATGTATAAACCGGCATGGGAAGGAACCAAATGCCAAATTGTGCAAATGTAAATAGGGTTCAAGCTGGAGCAGTCAGAGCAAAAAAGTAGTTGCATAGTCCAGATGAAAGATAAATGAATGTTCCCCCTAGCAGTGAAAACAAATCAGAATGTGGACTATAGAGATCTCGTGGCTCTGTGTGAACTCCTTTGCACCTTGCAGCTGCTTTGCATGGTGTCTGTGTAGGCACTCTGGTGCAAACCAGATTTCTATAATCACTATTCTGATTTGGATTAATCGCTTGTGTAGAAGGACTCTTAGATTCTAGGAGACCAGTGTTAAAATTCCCAGTCTGCCATGACAAACCGTTTTCAAGAAAACACTGTGATAGGTTTGCTCTAGGATCGCCATAAGTCAGAAATTTCCACAAGGCACAAAATAACAACACAAACACAATGGAGGAGGAATGAAAAAGGGAATTATGTCTTACCCTTTCCATGCTTTTAAAATATAGCCTGTAATTTGTGACTGTCAGGGTTCCTCTAATAGCACCAGTAAATGGACAGATATGAGTAACATCTTTTGCTAGAAAAGAAAATGGTAACACATTATAAATAATTATAATTGGGACTACTTATACGACGTTTAAAATCTTTCTGAGGTGAAACAAATATAATGGCAGACTTTCTTTTATTGAAAAGGCACACTTTAGCTTTGGATTTTCTGGTCTTGGCAGAAAGTTGGACTAGATGATCCTTGGGAACACAGCCAACACTACAGCTGTCTGATTCGATGACATTTTTAAATCCTTTTTCAGTTTTACTAAGTGAGGACAGCAGTGAGGTGAACAGTGAATAAAGAATAATGATTGATTTCTTTAGACATCACTGAAAAAACAGACATGAAAGTTTCATCATCTACACTGCAGAATTAATGCAGTTAGATACCACTTTAACTGGTGTAGTGGAAAGCTCATGGAATCATGAAGTTGTAGTTTTAGAAGCTTTTTTGTCTTCTCTGCCAAAGAGTTCTGGTGTCTCACAAAAATACACATATCAGGGTCACACAGATTTGAGCCAGAGAAGTTAAAGTGGTATTGAAATGCATTAACTGCTGGGCTTTAGCACAGCTGGGCCGGGCTTTTGTATAGCTGGTTAATCAGCAGCTCCAATAAATCTTACCAATTGAAAGGTTGGCAGTTCGAAGCCTGAGTTGGGGTGAGTGCCCAATCTTCAGCCCAGCTCACTGTCCACCTAAGCAGYKTGAAAACAGCTTAAGCAAGGAGGTATTTTATGGCACCATCCAAAAGAAGAAGAAGAAGAAGAAGAAGAAGAAGAAGAAGAAGAAGAAGAAGAAGAAGAAGAAGAAGAAGAAGAAGAAATGCCAGAAAATGCCAGCGATCAAAAGAAAGGAGGAAGTCTGTGATCAAGGGCTCTTCGACATAGAGGATGGAGTGACACCACCCCCTGAGGCCGGAATTGAGCACAACCTCCAGGATGCCGAAGTTGAGAAAATGCCTATCTATCTATCTATCTATCTATCTATCTATCTACATACATACATACATACATACATACATACATACACATACACATACACACCTCTGTGTGTTGCCTGTCCTGTCTGTTTAACGGCATTGCTGTATCTATGTTCTGTGATCTACCCTGATCTACCCTGAGTCCCCTTTGGGGTGAGAAGGGCAGAATGTAAATGCTGTAAATAAATAAATAAATAAATAAATAAATAAATAAATAAATAAATAAATAAATAAATAAATAAACGGTGTAGTGTAAATCAGTGGTTCTCATCCTGTGGGTCCCCAGGTTTTTTGGCCCACAACTCCCAGAAATCCCAGCCAATTTGCCAGCTGTTAGGATTTCTGGGAGTTGAAGGCCAAAACATCTGRGGACCCACAGGTTGASAACCACTGCTGTAGATACACTTGAAGTTTAATATTTGAAAGACAGGTTCGATCAAGAATATGCTGCAAATGCTTTGAAATAATTTTTCTCGGCCATCATGGTAATTGCAGGGCAGGAGAAGTGTCTTAAAACCTTGAAGTCCAACACATCTGGAGAATGTTAGGTTGAGGAAGCCTCTTTTCTGTAATTTCTTTGCAAGTCAAGCAGAATAATCCCCACCTTATACACCATCGGCGCTAGGGAGTTAAATCCGATGTGGCTTTGCGCTATACATCCCAGTTTTTATCTGTGAAATATTGGAGTGTTTGAGATGCTAATATCAATCACCAAATTACAAAGATGGGCAGCTTCTTGAAACCTCAGATGATAAACTGGAGCAGATTCACCATCTCGCTGGTAAGGAAACCACCAGCCATCCTGACAACCCAAAATTATTCATTCTGGAAAAGATAAATCTCTGCACATACCCATGTCCTTTATGTTTTCTCCTGGTAGCAAAGGGGGCTCCTCCATTTCGGCCAATTTATTAGATTCTCGGAGGACCTAAAACAGAAACCACATACTTAGCACAAGCTACATTGACGTTTCATTTTTCTTCATTTGTTTGTGGTTTTTCACTTTCATGGGGGAGTCCTGTGACCTAATCGCAGAAAAAGTGGAAGCCTGGTTGTATTTCAATTTTGACCTTTTCAGAAGATCATGGAAACATGTCCAACCTGCGTGCTGGTAGGACTGAAGACTGACAGGTCACAGGTTCGAATCCGGAGAGAGTGAAGATGAGCTCCCATTGTCAGCTCCGGCTCCCCATGCAGACCATGAGAGAAGCCTCCCACAAGGATGGTAAAACATCAAATCATCCAGGCGTCCCCTGGGCAATGTCCTTGCATATGGCCATTTCTCTCACACCAGAAGCGACTTGCAGTTTCTCAAATCGCTCCTGACATAAAAAAAAACAACAACCCTAGAAGCGTTTCAGTTTAACACTGCAATATGATTTTGCCCCCAACCTGGACCATCTCATTTTATGATTCACACAAAGGATTTACCCAATTTCCTAAATGAATTTCTCAGCAGGAAGGCAATGAAAACCTCAAAACGAACACACTAACCAAAACCTTGCCGTATTACAGTGAAGGGAGTGTAGTTTCCCTGCGGATTAAATAAACAGATGTGGTGAATAACTCAAGTTAGATCAATTGAAACCGAGGGGAAAAGAATCACTAATCCAACAGAAAAGCCACACATCTTAATCTTTTGGGTTTTATGAGTGGGGGGACACAAAGTAGAAACACCACAAGCAGATGGGGTTGTTTTACAGCAATGTCTATGGAAAAACTCTGGAGCAGTGACACGCGGCAAGATAGCCAGCCAATCAGATTGCGCAGATTATCTCACAATATTTCAATCTCCTTAAAAAGAACTGGACACAAAGGACAATCTCGCACCATGCCATTAGATAATAGAAGCTGATAAAGTATTGAATCTTATGGGGTTTCTGCTTTTTTGTGCCAGGGTTTGTGCTCCAGACGATAAACAATTCCGGGGGAGTGACATTATTTCTTCTCTGATTTTGTAAAATAACTATTATGGGAATTTATACACGTCTAGATGGGTAGATGAAGAACTCGAATTAATCAGCACGCTATCTTTCTTTGCTCCCTTCAATTATGCAACTGAAAAGCTTGGCAAACATTTTCCTAAAGAAGATGTAGCTCATGTTAGACAAAGAAATCGACCTTTGTTCCACAGATTTCACAGAAACAAGGATTAGTGTGATGCCTTTTATCTGCTTTAGTACATTTGCCACACTGAACCTCCTCCCCACTTTGTCTGATATGGTTACGCTGAGCAAGTAGTCACTGCCAGATTTCCTTAGATTTCTCCCCTCTTAGGTTAAAATTTAAGAGCACGTCCCTTGAAAAGACATCGATGAGTCCTGAAATTCTGCAGAAGGGAGGAGACAGTAAGAATAAGGCACCACTCTTCTCCTTGCAAAGCATTTGTTATGAATGGGTACATGGGTTGTATTCACACATCATGGATCTGGTCCTGGGGCCACATCTAGCTGAAAAGTTGTTTTTGCAGCCTTTGACCTGTGCGGATTCCCAAAAGGGTTAAATGCTTTTTTAAGAAACTCCTCCTTTCAGTCACCTTTCAGTCACCTTTCAGCCTCCAAATCAAACAAGCTCAGCTCCCTAGCCTGATCCTCATAGTGCTTGGCTTCCAGACCTTTGACCACTTTGGTTGCCCTTCTCTGGACATGTCCAACTTGACAACACCCTTCTTGAATTCAGTAAGGCCATTGACAAGGTCCTCCATGACCTTCTGGCAAACAAAGTAGTCAAGGAGTCTAGTGCCACACTTGGAATACTATGTCCCATTCTGGGCACCACAATTGAGGGGAGATGTTGACAAGCTGGAAGGTGTCCAGAGGAAGGTGACTAAAATGATCAAGGGTCTGGAGAACAAGTCCTATGAGGAGCGGCTTAAAGAGCTGGGCATGTTTAGCCTGAAGAAGAGAAGACTGAGAGGAGATATGATTAGGGCCATGTATAAATATGTGAGGGGAAGTCATAGGGATGAGGGAACAAGCTTGTTTTCTGCTACCCTGGAGACTAGGACACGAAGCAATGGCTGCAGGAAAGGAGAATCCACCTGAACATTAGGAAGAACTTCCTGACTGTGAGAGCTGTTCAGCAGTGGAACTCTCTGCCCCAGAGTGTGGTGGAGGCTCCTTCTTTAGAGGCTTTTAACCAGAGGCTGGATGGCCATCTGTCAGGAGTTCTTTGAATGTGATTGTCCTGCTTGTTGGCAGGGGGTTGGACTGGATGGCCTACGAGGTCTCTTCCAGCGATATGACTCTATGATTCTATTTAGATTTGAGCTAGTTCTCTCCATTTGCCTATATCAGTGGCAAGGAAAATGTCATTCATAGACTGTTCGTGCCCTCCAAGAACTCCATTTGGCAGTGCCCTCTCTGTCAAAAGCAGCATGGTGTTGTGATTTGAATATTATACTATGCCTCTGAAGTCCAGAAATCAAAACTTCATTCTAAATAAATTGCTGGATACTAAGAAATTAAATGTAATGCTGAATCTGTGAAGTAGTTTGTTTTAGCCCTGAGTAAATATTAATGAGAAAGGCATTAGGAAAAAAATATGCAAAATTGCACTGATCCTTCTCTCATAGGGTGTATAGCTTATGACACAGGGTCACTGCAACTCAAAGCTAACATGATGGCAATTGAAGACAACAACACACACACACACACATACATACATACATAAATACACATTGTACATGATTTCTAACTATTTCTTTGCCACTTTGCTAAAATAACATGTTCTGGTTGCATCATGCAGGGATGAACTTCAGTTACAAAAATTACCATATATACTCGAGTATAAGCCGACTTGAATATAAGCTGAGGCATCTAATTTTACCACAAAATACTGGGAAAACGTATTGACTTGAGTATAAGATGAGTGTGGGAAATGCAGCAGCTACTGGTAAATTACAAAATACCAATAAAATTACATTAATTGAGGCATCAGTAGGTCAAATATTTTTGAATAATTACATAAAACTGGAATTTAAGATAAATCTGTCCAACTCTGATTAAATCATTAATCTAACCTTCTTCAATGTACATGTGATTATGTATCCTTCCAATAATAATAGAGAGAAAAATAATAAATGTAATAAAAATAATAATAGAGTAAAATAATAAGTGTAATAATAAAAGTAGAGTAAAATAATAAATATTATAATAATAAATAGAATAAAATAAATGCAATAATAATAGAGTAAAATAATAAATGTGATAATAATAATAATAGAGTAAAATAATAAATGTAATAATAACAATAATAAATAGAGTAAAATAATAAATGTAATAATAATAATAATAACAGAATAAAATAATAAATAACCTTGACTCGAGTATAACCCGAGCGGGGGTTTTCAGCCTTAAAAAAGGGCTGAAAAACTCGGCTTATACTCAAGTATATATGGTATTTTTTAGTGCTACCAAGTACAATATTACAGTATTATATCTTTAAAATTCAGTAAAGACATCGGAGCTAAATTAGTAATATTTTAAATATATACAAGTCTTGCAGATATTGGGCAACGTCATTACCCCATAATGTTTGAGAGAAAAAGAGGGAATATAAATCAAGTACATACATAAATGAACAAATAAATTATACTTTTTCTTTAGGGTTAGCAAGCCTGTTAAAAGACAGCTCTAGTTCCTTTTCTTTTGGCTCAAGCAGCAGGAGAAAGTCCCTTACCTGCAAAAAGGAGGTGGTAGCAAGTTTCCAGGTCGACGCAGAGCCCCGTGAAAGAATAATAGATCACCTCTTTCTCAAAAGGACATACCAAGGCCACTGGGTTACTCTCTTAAGCTTTCTGTTCCTCCCCCCACAAAACGACAAATCGTAAATACTTTTGGCTATAGTTGGAGTGGCTACACCATCAGCCAGGGATCTTTAATATTTAGCATTAAGATCACTTTCTTCCTCGTCTCTCTGAAACATGAACTCACTGGAAGCAGCTTCCTTCTTCCTTGTCTCAGAGACAGAGGATTGACCGAGTCTGGCTTTCTCTGATCTCTTTTACACTAAATCAATATATTGTAACTTGGGCTTTGACAGGTCTATGAGGCAAGTGCTATAAATAGAAGGAGAAGGGAAGGGCAGCATGTAAAGTGGATCTTTGCTGGGATAAGCACAATTTTCCTGGATCAGGAGACAATGGGATGGAAAAAGAGACCCCAAAAAAGACATTGCAATGACTGCAATCTTTGGGGGAAAACATTCAAGATGCTGTGATATTAGAGAAATTGCTGCAAAATACCCAATGTACTTGGTAGAGTCTCATATTCTACAATAAGGATTCGAAAACTGTATTGCAGGCATGGGCAAACTTCAGCTCTCCAGGTGTTTGGACTTCAACTCCCACAATTCCTAACAGCCTACCATTAGACTGAGCATGATGAAATATATGATAAAGATCATAATCACAGCCTTACACATTTTCTGAGGAAACTAATCAGACATTCTGAAAAGTGGAGACTTGGACCACTTACGGCAGCGTCTCTCAACCTGGGGGTCGGGACCCCTGGGAGGGTCACAAGGGGGGTGTCAGAAGGGTCACCAAAGGCCAGCAGAAAATGCAGTATTTTCTATTGGTCATGGGGGTTCTGTGTCAGAAGTTTAGCCCAATTCTATAGTTGGTGAGATTAAGAACACTCTTTGATTGTAGGTGAACTATATATCCCAGTAACTAAAACTCCCAAATGCCAAGGTCTATTTTCCCCAAACTCCACCAGTGTTCACATTTGGGCATATTGAGTATTTGTGCTAAGTGTGGTCCAGATCCATCTTTGTTTGAGTCCACAGTGCTCTCTGGGTGCAGGCATACCACAACTCCAAAACTCAAGATCAATGCCCACCAAACCCTTCCAGTATTTTCTGTTGGTCATGGCAGTGCCAAGTTTGGGGGTTCTGTCAGGGGTCGCCAAACAACTCCCAAATGTCAAGCCTATTTTCCTAAAACTCCACCAGTATTCACATTTGGGCATATTGAGGATTTGTGCCAAGTTTGTTCCAGATCTATCATTGTGTGAGTCCACAGTGCTCTTTGGATGTAGGTGAACTACAACTCCAAAACTCAAGGTCAATGTACACCAAACCCTTCCAGTATTTTCTATTGGTCATGGGAGTTCTGTGTGTCAAGTTTAGTTCAATTCCATTGTTGGTAGAATTCAGAATGTTCTTTGATTGTAGGAGAACTATAAATCCCAGCAACTGCAACTCCCAAATGACACAATCAATATCCCCCCCTCCCAACCCCCACCAGTATTCAAATTTGGACATATTGGGTATTTGTGACAAATTTGGTCCAGTGAATGAAAATACATCCTGCATACCAGATATTTACATTACGATTCATAACAGGAGCAACATTACAGTTATGAAGTAGCAACAAAAATAATTTTATAGTTGGAGGTCACCACCACATGAGAAACTGTATTAAGGGGTCTCGGCATTAGGAAGGTTGAGAACCTTTGACTTACAGCATTTGTGCTACATTATCCCCACACTTATTTAAGGTGCCCTTCAAGAAAGGGGAAATGGCATTAAGCATGAGGAGGGATGGGAGAGGATTGGGGAACAACTGTGTCTGGTGTCCCCTAGCATCTGCAATCTGGAGCTGTAGCCTTATTCTTCCTAATGGTAGGTTTGGCCTTGCAGCAAAATTTGCATATGTCCTCCTACCTCTAGAGCAGTGGTTCTCAATCTTCCTAATGCCACAACCCCTTAATGCAGACTCATTAGAAGAGTTTAGATTACTATAATGCAGGCATGGGCCACCTCATGTTGTGGTGACCCCCAACCATAACATTATTTTCATTGCGACTTTCATAACTGTAATTTTGCTACTGATATTAATTATAAGGTAAATATCTGATATGTAGGATGAATTTTTATTCACTGCACCAAATTTTGTACAAATACCCGATATGCCCAAATTTGAATACTGGTGGGGGTTGGGGGTTGATTTTTTTCATTTGGGAGTTTCAGTTGCTGGGGTTTATAGTTCACCTACAATCAAAGAGCATTCTGAACTCCATCAACAATGGAATTGAACCAAACTTGGCACACAGAACTCCCATGACCAACAGATAATACTCTGGAGAGTCTGGTGGATACTGAGTTTGGAAGTTGTAGCTCACCTACATCCAGAGAGCACTGTGGACTCGAACAATGATCGATTTGGACCAAACTTGGCACAAATACTCAATATGCCCAAATATTAACATTAGTGGAGTTTTGGGAAAACAGACCTTGACATTTGGGAGTTGTAGTTGCTGGGATTTATAGTTCACTTACAATCAAAAAACATTCTGACCTCCCACCAATGATAGAATTGGGCCAAACTTCCCACACAGAACCTCCTTGAGCAACAGACAATACGGTGTTTTCTGGTGGTCTTTGGTGACCTCTCTGACGCCCCCTCATGATCCCCCCCCCAAGTCCCAACCTCCAGGTTGAGAAACGCTGCCCTAGAACCATCTAGTTGGAAGAGACCCCAAGGACCATCCATGCAGGAATACACAATCAAAGCACTCCCAACAAATGTCTATCCAACCTGTGATACATTTTCTATTACAAGAGAGCTGCAAACACAATTGTTGTCCCAGAACTAAATATTCAAAGTACTTGGTTTAGTCTTTGCTTCAAGGTTTTTCATATGTATGCTCGTAGAAAGATTTTATAGAGGACATTGAAACATTTTCTCACACACCTGAAATGCAACAGAATACAGTTCATGGCCCACAGCTCTGGTGTAGGATATTTGTTGGTCCCAGGACTTACCCTTAAATCTGGAGAAAAGTTTTCTGTAGAGGTGGAGATCGAGTCTGAAGCGGATCTTGTATGGGTCGAGTGCTCTGAATGCGAGGTGGAAGCGCTGAAAGAAAAAAAGGAGGTAGTTTAGCTAATCTTAGACCACTGCTTGCTCTTGCAGAAGTGTATGATATGCGGGAGGGGGAATTCTCATAGCCTCCCTCTAAGTACAGTAGAGTCTCGCTTATCCAACATAAATGGGCTGGCAGTATGTTGGATGAGCGAAAATGTTGGATAATAAGGAAGGATTAAGGAAAAGTCCATTAAATGTCAATTTACATTATGATTTTACAAATTAAGCGGCAAAACATGATATGTTACAACAAATTAACAAAGAAAGCTGTTCAATACATAATAACGTTATGTAATAATTACTATATTTATGAATTGAGCACCAAAACATTGCTATGTATTGAAACAGCTATGGATCCGGCAGGAGGCCGACTGCGTTGGATAATATAGAACGTTGGATGAGTGAAGGTTGGATAAGTGAGACTCTACTGTATCTCACTTTTTCTCTCCACAAGGTGTTTAATACATAGTAACGTTATGTAGTAATTACTTTGCAGGGAACAAAATCAACCTCTGTACATGGCATTCATCGACCTTGCAAAGGCATTCGACAAAGTGAATCGCAGCGCTCTCTGGACTATCCTCCAAAAAATCGGGTGCCCTAACAAATTTGTGAACATCCTGCGGCTCTTCCACGATGACATGATGGCAACAGTCCTGGACAGCAATGGCTCCCAAAGTGACCCATTTAAGGTGGAATCAGGTATCTAACAGGGATGTGTTATTGCCCCAACCTTATTTTCCATCTTCATCGCTACGATACTTCATCTTGTTGATGGGAAACTTCCCACCGGAGTGGAAATCATCTATCGGGCAGATGGCAAGCTGTTTAACCTCAGCAGACTGAAAGCCAAAACCAAGGTTACAACAACATCTGTTATAGAACTCCAGTATGCTGATGACAATGTCGTCTATGCACATTCAGATAAAGACCTATAAGCCACTCTAAACTCCTTCACAGAAGCTTACGAGAAGCTCGGCCTGCCATTAAACATTGAGAAACCCAAAGTGCTCTTCCAGCAGGCACCGGCTAATCCCTCTCCAATGCCAGAAATACAAATTAATGGTGTAACATTAGAAAATGTTGACCATTTCCGCTACCTTGGCAGCCACCTCTCCACAAAAGTCAACATTGACACGAAAATACAACACCACCCTCCCACCCTGGACATTATTCCACAGGTAAATACTTTTGATATGAAATAATAAATACATCAGCTTCTCCCAACCTAGTGCCTTGCCTTCTAGATGTGTAAATTCGTAACTTCCAAAATTCCTTATTACCTATTGGATTGCTGAAAATACACTTTACTACCTCTGGGGGATGCTAGATTTGGAAGGAGTGGGCTACAATTAGCATCTCCCCTAAGGCACTTCATACAGAAATCTGCCACTAAAGCAGAACACATTTTGTATCTTGGATAAAGCTTTCTATAGTCTGCAAAAGTTTGTTGCTATACAGTTGTTAAGATTTTAAGGGCGATGGAATGCTTTTTGTGCATTTAGAGTAAACAACAAGCACAGCCACCATTTCAGAATTTATTTAGAAGGGGAGAAATCTTTTAGAAAGCAGATATTTTTACACACATACACACATTACTTGCTCGAGGTAGATTTGCAGCTGATTCTAAGCAATCCAGTGTTTGAATCTAAGATCAGCATGTGAAGAGTGAAAAAACAAGACGAAAGGACACTCAAACATCTCCAGCCAAATCTCTCTCTCATACACACAATCGCATGTGCGAGCTTACACACAGCTATGTATTCTCTGCCAGCAATGGAGAAAGGTGGCCTATATTCTGACCATTTGTGAGCATTCCCCCCACTCCACCCGCAAGAGGGTCCATTTCATGCTGCCATCATCACACAATAGCCTACAGTGTCTGGAGCAGTGTTCATGCACTATTACGCTTTTTAAAAAAAATCATAAAGGAGGGGGGAGCTAAATTGGGGAAAAAAAGAAAGCCTGTAGTCTGCGTAAGTCACTTAGTAAACAAAGCATGGATTGTTGGGATCTTTTTCTGCCTCCAAGGATAGAAAGCCAACCACCCATTGAAATGCAATACAGGGTTCCTATGGAAAAACGGAGACTGAATTGTGCCTTTCACTGAGTCAAAGCGCCTGAAGAGCCCAGTCCCTTGGTAATAGTTATAGAAGCCTGCTTCCCCATGAGAGTCTTAGATTTCATTTTTCCTTTCTTCTTAAAGTATGTTTCACTGTCCCTACCTGGAGACAGTGATAACTGTGGCCATAATATTATCAACAATCCAAAAGTTATGCTTTCATATTTAAGTTCTTTTCCCCCTTGTAATGTGTTAGTTATTATTTGTTATCTTATCAACAGGGCCATGGTGGTGCAGCAGGTTAAACTACTGAGCTGCTGAACTTGCTGACCGAACAATCAGCACTTTGAATCCAGGGAGTAGGGTGAGCTCCCACTGTTAGGCCCAGCTTCTGCCAACCTAGCAGTTCGAAAACACGTAAATGTGAGTAGATCAATAGGCACCGCTTCTGTGGGAAGGTAACAGCATTCCATGCAGTCATGCTGGCCACATCACCTTGGAGGCATCTACGGACAACGCTGGCTCTTTGGCTTAGAAATGGAGATGAGCAGCAACACAACTGAATTGTGTGGGACACAACTATAATACTTTATTTATATTCCGCTCTAACTAGAGTTAACGTCAGGGGGAAAACTTTACCTTTTATCTTATCATAGAATCATAGACCTTGTGGGCCATCTAGCCAAGAAGCAGGAAAATCTCATCCAAATCACCCCCGATGAATAGCCATCCAGCCTCTATGTAAAAGCCTCCAAAGAAGGAGCCTCCACTACACTCCAGGGTAGAGAGTCCCACTGCTGAACAGCTCTCACAGTTAGTTTTTCTTCATGTTCAGGTGGAATCTCCTTTCCTGTAGTTTGAAGCCATTGTTCCACTGCATCCTAATCTCCAGGGCAGCAGGTGAGTTGATCACTAGGTAGCGCTTTGGCAGGAAGGTAATGGCGCTCCATGCAGTCATGCCAGCCAGATGGCCTTGGAGGTGTCTATGGACAATACTTGCTCTTCAGCTTAGAAATGGAAGTGAGCACCACCCCCCCAGAGTTGGATACGACTAGATTTAATGTCAGGGGAAACCTTTGCCTTTACTTATGCATAGCACCCCACCCTAAATACCCTAAATAGACACCAGATCCCATTTGATCTTGGAAGCTAAGCAGGATCAGCCCTGGTTAAAACTTGGATAAGAGACTGCCAATGAATACCAGGAGTTGCTTGCTATATTTCAGAAGAAGGAACTGGCATGGCCACTTCTGAGTAATCCTTGCCTAAGAAAATCCTATTAAATTCACGGGGTCACTTTAAGTTTACATGGGACTTGAAGTCATTATATACACATATGTGGATCACATCTGAGTTTGCATAATTTATCTTCGTTACCCATTTCTTGGATAGCTTTTCTGAGAAAAAGACGACACTTTTCCACTTTATGCAGAATCAGTTTTACTGTCAATTGTAATTTAGGTTTTTAGGGCAGAGCTGTGTGCTTTTCTATTAAAATGCAATGGATACGCAACTCTGTACAGGAGCTGAGCCATCAAGATTTGGAGAGGAAGTGCAACTCAACAGGGAGGCTACCTGCTTTACAGGCAAAGCATCTGGCATCTCTAAAAAGAATCAGCATGGGATGGGAAAGATGCTGCTAGAAAAATTGCCAGCATCAGGATAGAATTTATTATTATTCTGTCCCGATACTGGCAACCAGCACAGTTAGTGACTATGGTGATTTGGGATTCTGGGAGCTAGAGTCCAAAGACAAGAATTGTTTTCAGAAGAGGTTTGATAGTTTACTCACATTTTCTTCTTTTACTTATTTTCTATGATTAAGTAGGGGAGGAGGAGGAAGAAGAAGTAAATGATGATTTAAATAACTGATTAATAATGCTTTGAATATTAAAATATCCTGCCTTGTATCATGGAATCCCAAGGTAGTATACAGTTGGCCATCTGCATCTGTGAATTTAACTTTTGTGGATTCGATTAATATTTTCTCTCTAAGGATCTCAGAGAGAACACTTGTCTAGGCATTTGTAGATCCTCCAGTGCGATTCTCAATGCTTGGAGAACCTAGAGATACCTAGCTAGATAGGTGTTCTTCCAAGTGGAAAATATAGCATATTTTTATAGGGCTGACCATACAATATAATCAATTTCACAAATTTACAAACAGATGGTAACACTGGGTTGCTGTGAATTTTCCAGGCTGTATGGCCATGTTCCAGAAGCATTCTCTCCTCATGTTTCACCCACATCTATGGCAGGCATCCTCAAAGGTTGTGAGGTTTGCTGGAAACTAAGCAAGCGGGGTTTATATATCTGTAGAATAATGTGCAGGGTGGGAGAAAGGACCCTTGTTGTTGCAGGCAAGTGTGAATGTTGCAATTGGTTACCTTGATTAGCATTGATTAGCCTTGCAGATTAAAAGCCTGGCTGCTTCCTGCTAGGGGGAATCCTTTGTTGGGGGTGTTAGCTGGCCCTGATTGTTTCCTGTCTGGAATTCCCGTTTTTTGAGTGTTGCTCAAAAAAATGGTAACATTGTTAATATTGATGATATTCAAGACAATGTTGCTTGCACCCCTTAGGCTACTAGCATGGTGTAGCGATTTGAGTTTTCAACTATGACACTGAGTGACCAGGGTTCGAATTCCCACTTGGCCATAGAAAACCACTGGATGACCTCAGACAAGTCACAGGTCCTTCCACACAGCTGTATAAAATCTACATTGATCTGAATTATCTGGCAGTGTGGACTCTGATATTCCAGTTTAACGCAGATATTGTGGGTTATCTGCCTTTATATTCTGGGTTATAGGCATATGTGGAAGGGCCTGCACTCTCTCAGCCTCAGAGGGTGGCAATGGCAATCTCCCTCTGAACAAAACCTGCCATAGGTTTGTCTTCAGATCACCGTAAGTCAGAAACGACTTGAAGG